AAAAAAAAAATCCTCCCCTTGGGGGGGGGGGGGGGGGAGGGGGGAGGGGGGGAGTGGTCTGCTCACAAGGTGCTGAGAACTCTCATACCTGCTGTCAACATCATCCTGAGTGACACTTCCCTCTCCACCCTTCATCAGACATTGGAGTTCCTCATATTTGGTCCAGATTAGCAATGGCCTTGCTAGAGTGAGTGGTCCATCTAACAGGATTTCGTTGTACCCAGTCTCCCTGGTGTGCTGTGGGGCTTCTGCACCACTGGTGTGGTATCAAGTGAGGACTGAACACCACAGAGGACAGGACTCCAGCACAGGGGGCCATCCTGCGAGGGGGCTCCAGCCCAGCCTGTGAAGGGGACTTGTGGCCCTTTCTCCCCATCCCACGATGGGGCTCCGGCCCCCTCTGTTTTTCAGGTCGGGGACATCGTCATGGTCAAGGAGGATGAGACCTTCCCCTGTGACTTGATCTTCCTTTCCAGCAACCGAGCCGACGGGACCTGCCACGTCACCACCGCCAGCCTCGACGGAGAGTCCAGTCATAAAGTAACGTGCCTGTGTTGGGTGCAGTCAAGAGTTTCAGCAGCTAGCCAAGCTGCTGGTGGGGACCTGGCCGCTATGTGCAGATGCTGTTGGTGTCTGTAGGGAGGGCCTGGACTTGCACCTGCTGGCTTTCCTCCCATTTTTCCACTCAGCATCTGTAACTACCACTAGTTCTGGTGAATAGAAATGGTTTGGGGCTGGGAAGGTGGCTCAGTGGTAGAGGGCTTGCCTTGCATGCCAGAGGCCCTGGGTTCAATTCCTCAGCACCACATAAGCAAAAAAGAAAAAAAGCTGGAAGTGGCTCTGTGGCTCAAGTGGTAGAGTACTAGCCTTGAGCTGAAGAGCTGAGGGACAGCGCCCAGGCCCAGAGTTCAGGCCCCACTACCGGACCCCCCCCAAAAAAAAGAAAGAAATGGTTGCCATGTTAGCCCAGGTCATTTAGTAGCAAAATGGACAGATGGATCTTTAAAGGTTTCCACTTTACTAGTCAAAATTGGTATCTTTCCTAGCATAGGATTGGGTGGAAAGTCACAGTTACAGATTTTTGCCTGAGTGTTCTACAGTAAGTATCTTTTTGCTAAAAATGTTCTTAAAAGGATTTTCTAAAGCTGTAATTAGTTTGTCACACTTGGTATAGCATTCTACATGGGCAGAATTCTATATACGCTACAGAAGTCAATTAAGACAATCATAGAAAAAAAACATAGCACTGTTTATCTTCCAGGATGTCTTCTCTTTGCTTAAAAGGTCTAGATGTTCCCAAGCTGAGGAAAGTGAGAATAGCTCACGAATCTGCAGGTCCAAAACAGTGCTTATATAGTCCCTGTCAGTGAGGCAGCTTCTTCTACAGATGGAGACACTGTCTTCACAGAACACCAGCAGATGTGCCAGTCTCTCATGCAGTAGTTCATGATATCATTGTAGAAAGTCTTTGGGATTTTTAGTGTTTATTTTCACATTTTCTCTATAGTGTATCCCAAGGGAATGAAACTTCTGCCATAAGCACCTGCACATGGCAGGACTTCCACTGGACGTGGGGGGTCCCTAGATGAAGGGAGGATTTATTCTGAGCCTGAGAAGAGGCCTGATCCAGCCCTCAAGACTATGGGAGCCACTGGCGCTCTGTTTTCCGAGGACTGCTGTTTGGACTGGTCCAGGGAAACCATTGCTGGTCCCACGGAAGGCTTAGAGGTGTCTAATGCTCTGTTAGCACACTGCTGGAGATGAAGCAGGGGGCTATTGTCCCGTTTGGGAGCTGAATGTGTTAGAATGGTTGTTGTATGCTAGCTGCTAGTGTGTTTATACTTAGCATCCTACCTGTGCTATTGGTGCACTCTGAGGACTACAGTTGAATCATAGCCTTGAAGACAGAGCAGGACAGAGGAGGCCCTGGATGTCTTAATTCTGGGGAGTCCTGCGCTACTCTTGGGACTTGAGTGGGCTTTTCACCCTGTCTGACTTTTCACATCTGTGAAAGGGGGACAAAGCTGATTGTCAAGGCCCGTTGTGAAGATAAGAGAACTTCCCAAAGTGCTGCGGAACCTCTAACTCTCCATCCTGATCTAACAAAGGGCTAGCCTAGGAATTCTTCAAAACCTGACCTCTGGGGTGCAGTGGGAGGTGGCAGCGGCCTGGTGGTTCCCATGTGGCCCCTGGGGTCAGACGGTGCCCCAGCAGCCTGGGTGTAGCGATGCAGGGTGTGAACTGGTGTTGTCCATCTGCCTGCAGACCCACTATGCGGTGCCGGACACCAAGGGCTTCCACACAGAGGAAGATGTCGACAGGCTGCATGCCACCATCGAGTGTGAGCAGCCGCAGCCCGACCTCTACAAGTAAGTTCACCCCAGCTTAGAGAACATGGCCTGCAGACATGGGCCGCCAGTCTCTGTGGACAGGCAGCTCCACTGCAAATTCCAGGCAGTGTCCACACGTACCCCAGCGGCCTGCAGGTTAAACTTAGGGGAGAAAGGCTGCTCCCTGTCCATGCAGTTTGTCAAGAGATGGTTGAGGATCATATAAGTCCTGGCAGGTTTGCTGAGGAGGGGAATGACCTTTCCACAGGCATCTGTTCTCAATCGGGCCTGCCTGACAAGAATGCACCCCTGAAGGGCCCCTTCCCGGCGAGTCATTAACCGGGCTTCTCTGTTGCCAGGTTTGTGGGACGCATCAATGTTTACAATGAGCAGCACGACCCTGTGGTGAGGTGAGTCGTGGGAATCCTGGCAGCACTGTGGTATGAGGAGCTCCTTCTTGTCTTGGTTTGAGCGTCTCCTCTTGCTGCTCTGTTCTGTTTGGAAAGTAGGATTCAGCCTCACAGAGAACAGGCTCTGTTCTCAGTCCTGAGTTTGTCTTTGCTTGTGTGTTGGAATAATGATGCTCCACAGGACTGCCCAGATGGCCACCTGGGCAGGGCACAGAGCCATGCATTGTGTGTGACAGGACTTATGCTGCGAAGTTGGTTTCCACTTGGGAGGCCATTTTATCAGATGTGTTAGTATACTTGGGCTGGTCACTAGAACAGGTCTTACTCGAAGCTCTCGCCAGCCCACATAGGAAGGTAGGTAGCTGCTGCCTATCAGGAGGCAGGTGGATGGCCGTTGTTGGGTGTGCTGTCCCTCAGGCTGGTGGATGACCATTGCTGGGTGAGCTGTCCATCACAGGGTCTGTGTCAACACCGCAGTCCCACACTGTGCATCCACAGCTCCACACCACCTTCAGATGTCCCATCTGAGAGCTGCCCGCTTCCCTTTTCCATCTGATGCAGTTTTGAGTCTAGCAGTTATTTATAAAATGATAACTTGCATTTTTAGTTTAGGAAATTAGCCTATAAGTAGGTTTTAAAAAAGAAATGTCAGGTAATGAGTACATGTCTTTTTGGACAATGTCATGCTTTCCATCACTTCCTATTTCCCCGTCCTGTCCCTGCCCTCAAAATGCATAGTGCATTTTCCACATCATGTTTACCGAGTGCCATGCCTGCAGTTGTTCATCTGTCCTCCCTCCCATTACCAGCCTTCTTTAGACCCCTGCAAAAGTGTAGCAGGCTTCAAAGCTGCTTCTCCATAAAGAGAAAATTTTTCCTTAGATTTAAGCGGTTTCTATATCCTCAATGCTGTTATTATCATGTGTTAAAATGTTTTCTCAGAAGTAGAAACACTGCAAAATAGTTACCAAAATATCCCTTGGTCCCTAGGGATTGCCTCCCATGGGGCTCAGAGCTGTTGTTTCAAGGAAGCAATTTGCCCTCCACATGTTCCATTGTCACCCAGCACAGTGGGTGGCTGTTAGCACCATACCTCTCCAGATGTATTAGAGGTGTTGCTGTGTTCTTCCTCAGTATATATTATTGCAGAATCGCTTGTATTTCTCTGTTCTTTGTGGTGCTGTGTTTTCTTTTGTTTCCTGCTACCAAGTTTTGTTGGTTTTTTTTTTTTTTTTTGCTGGTCGTGGGGCCTGAACTCTGGGCCTGGGCACTGTCCCTTAGCTCTTCAGCTCAAGGCTAGCGCTCCACCACTTGAGCTGCAGCGCCACTTCTGGCTTTTTCTGCTTATGTGGTGCTGAAGAATCGAACCCAGGGCCTCATGTATGCAAGGCAAGCACTCTTCCACTGAGCCACCTTCCCAGCCCTGCTACCAAGTTTTGAACTGAGGAACTCACATGTGCTAGTCAATCACTTTGCCCCTTAAACCATGTTCCCTGCCCTTTGATGCATGTGTTATTTTTCAGACCAGGTCTCACTTTTCCCCTGATTGGTTTGGGACTTGTTTCCTGCCTCTACCTCAAGGCACTCCCTGAATGTGGGATTAAGCATGCAGCGTTTACAAGGCTTGTTTGAGTTGATAAGTTAATCCCTATGGGCCTTGGGATAGATCTAGAGTCAGCCCTGCCAACCAGGTTCTGTGTGGAGACATGCTCCCTGCCCGTGGGGAGGGGCCCACGGGTGCCACGTTACCCAACCTTTAGTTTACCCAACCTTTAGTGTTGATATTGATGCTACTCAGTAAATTTTGAATATTTGAATCTTTAAAGATGCTCATAATGCTGGAAGAAACTGGCTGTTTTGAGTTACTCACTTCTTAGTCCCCTTAAGTATATTTCTTCTTCCATCTGTCCAAACTAGAAGCAGTTCTTGGTTGAGTCTCTTATTTTTAGACTTCCCAGAGACCCATTTTAAATGGGCCATTTGTTTTCATTAACGCCTATGACATGAATTATTGTAAGTGTATTGCTAACAGAAGCTGACAGCCCTGTGCAGCTCAGGGAGCCACATCTTCAGAGGTGGTCAGGCAGAGGGAACGGGCTGCCAGCTGCCAGCCCCAGCCATAGCTCCCTGGGGTGCCCTAGCAGGCAGCCCCTACCGTGCTTCCAGCTGGGTGCTGGCTGAGCTGCCTTGGCTGGATGCACTGGCTGCATGTTAAGGTTGTGATACTCAAGTTCTCAACCACATTAAAACAAAATTAAATACAAACCAAAAACAGCAAAGACAAACCTCTGCAAATACTTGTCAACTCTCTGCCTCTGCCCTCCAGAGAGACCAAGAAGGTGTTAGTAATAGGGAAATTTGTACATTTGAATTTACTTCTAAAGAGAACAGGAGGAACCAATGTTTCCAGCCCCCAGGTACTGGCTTCCCCTGGCACAGCTCAGAGCTGCCTCTGTGGCTCACTGCCCAGGGCCGGGCCAGCACTGTCTCCTAGAGTGTTTAGGATCCTTGGCTGTGGCTTGTTCCCCAAGGCAGCCAGGTATGGATTATAGCCACACGCATGACAGCAATGGCCTCCTAGCCTTATCCTGCCCTGCCCTTATCCTTAACATGATGGAGCCAAGCAGGACTCCTGAGTGTCATGAGGATAAGACAGAAATAACTGAGGGGTGAACGAAACTCTGCAGATGATCCTGAGATCCCTTAGCACAGCCATTCTCAAACTTCAGCTGGTTGGGGGAGGACTGGCCCCACCTCAGGGTCACTGCTGAAGGTTGGGGGTGACAATTCTGATGTGGCCCAGGTACTGCTAACGGGCCCACCAGAAGGAACCTGTCCTGTGACCTTGAGCAGGAGTGCTGTCAAAACTTTTAGATGCCCGGTCAGAGACCTTGTCCTGCTTCCCTGCTCTCCTGGTGATGAGGCTACTGTCGCCACAAGTCACTATCCCCAGAAAGAGCCTGCATGCCTCACACAGCCCTGTGGCGAGGCCAGGCTGACTGGGGGGGTGGGGGGTGGGTGGGGGTGGAGTGGTCTCATGGAAGGCACGGCCTCTGAAGATGGTTTCCCTCATACTCTCTCATCCTTGTCTTCTCAGGCCACTGGGGTCAGAAAACTTGCTTCTCCGAGGAGCCACGCTCAAGAATACGGAGAAGATCTTCGGTAAATATTACAGTTAGTGAGTCACTTACAATAGCTTGTAAAGTTAACATTCCACCAAGCAAGCCTGCAACCTTCAGCATAGTCTAGGTGCGCTGCTTCCAGGTACAGTGCTTCGGAGTACAGAGCCTGGCACAGGACCCGCCTCTCCAGGAAGCCCGGGGGGGGGGGGGGCCCGGGGAGACGGGACTAAGCCACTAAACAGGACAGCAGAGGGCAGGCGCGGAAACCGACAGTTATGTCCTTGGAGAGATTCACACAACTCCAGCCCAGAGGAACTTGCTTTAGGTCTGCATGCCTGCTCTGGTATCCCCACTTCTATGTGCTGTTGTCTGTTTTCATGAAAAGTACAAACGTGGCCACGGTCAGAAAACTCAGTACGTTAACATCTGAATTTAAACAATTAGATCAGACTTCAGAACTCTGTCTGAAATGTCCTGTCCCATGACTAACCGACTGTTTGCCTACCCGGGAAATGAGAAGTGCAGCTGGTTCCCCCGTGGGCGGTGTGGGGCTCGCGGCGGTCCAGGTGCCAAGTTCAGCCCTCTGCTTCCAGGTGTGGCTATCTATACAGGCATGGAGACCAAGATGGCCTTGAACTATCAGTCCAAGTCCCAGAAGCGCTCTGCTGTGGAAAAGTAAGGCCCCTCCCCTTCTGTGTCACTGCTATTGGCCATCGCTAAGTGCTGTACACAGTGTTTCCCCTGACCTGTTCCTTTCCTCCAAGGTCCTGATCCCTGCAGAGCTGATTCTGTAGGTGTAAGAGCTCAGCCTTGAACTCCTGCCCTAGATCCCAGGGCCCAGACCAGCGCAGCTGTTACCACCACAAACTCATGCAGGCCTCAAAAATGGGGTTATTTAATCTGGGGACTTGGTGAGAGCCAGCATTTTCCTCTGGGAGAGTGAACAGGCTCTTCATGAGACACTACACCTGACAACAATGCGCCAGGGTGATGGCTGGGTTTGCAGGGAAATGTGTCTTGGGGTTTGGTCCTCTTTGCTCCATGTTAAAATGTGCCCTGCTCAAGGTGGGGTGCTGAGTGCTTCCTGTACCCCGCTGTAGAGCTGCTAGAGCTGCATGGAGGACTGACAGCGGGGATCCTGGCCCCTGAGAGGGCCTGGACGTGCTGTCCCAGGCCTCTGCTATCCTGGCTCAAGTATAAAGGTGGAGCCTGATCATAGAAAATAAGCCTCTGTCCCACAGCCGAAGTTGGCTCTTCCCACCTGAACATTTCCCCTCCCTTCTGACTGTGCCCCTCCCTCCTGACTTTGCCCCTTCCTCTCCTTAAGGGAAGTAATCACTGAATTTTGACTCCCTTGTTGATGCTTCCTGGTGGAAGCTTCTGGGCTTTCTTTAAAGTGGTAGCATTCCAGCCACACAGAGTGTTTTTGCTGTTTCTCCCCTGCTCCTTGTAGCCCTTCCCACTGTCTGGTGGGGCGCTGCCATCTTTGGGGTGCCTTGGTGGGTGGCTTGGCTCTTCCTCACATAGTGAAGCCCTGCTTGGGGGGTGAGGGGGGGACAGTAAGAGCTCCGTCGGTGCTGTGAGGGAGGTAGGAAGAGCTCCGCCCCTGCTGTGTGAAGAGGTCTAACTACCTCCCTCTCCGTGTGCTCCAGGTCAATGAACGCCTTCCTCATTGTGTACCTCTGCATCCTGATCAGCAAGGCCCTGGTCAACACTGTCCTGAAGTACGTGTGGCAGAGCGAGCCATTCCGAGATGAACCCTGGTACAACCAGAAAACCGAGTCCGAGAGACAGCGGAGTCTGGTATGGAGGCTGCCCTGCTAAGGGACTGTCACAAAAGATGATGCTGGAAAACCACAACAGGCTTGGTACAGGGCTGATCATGCAGGCTTGAATGGATCCTTAGAGGTCAGCCGACGCTGCTGTTCTGCTGGCTTTGGGTCCCTGAGTAACGAGTCTGAAGATGTGTAAGAACAGTGTCTGAAATTCTTAGGATGTTTCCTATAAGCCCTGGCCCAGAAAACCACTCAGACACAGACATGTAGAAGCTGACAGGCTCTCTCTCTCAGGATAGAGAGTAGCAAAGCTACTCTCAGGCAGGGGAGGTAGTTATAGTATGAAGAAGAGCCTGAACCAGGGGAAGGGGCTGGAAGGAGGAAATCTTTGTAGTCCCAGCTGGACCCTGGAGACATCAGCTAGCCAGGGCAGGACATTCTGTAGCTGGCTTTGTTGCCAGGGAAAGCATTCTGTGTCTGGCACGTAGCTGGGACAACGCATCTTGCGTCTGACACTAGAAATAGCGTGTGACCAGAAATGGGCATCCTAGCGGCAACATGTCACTGATGCAGCTGGGGCTGGGGGGCACCTGCAGTTGGTAGGAATGGGCAAGGTGACCCATGGGCTTTGGGATGACCCAAGGTAAAGGCGGTCAACCCAAAATAGGGGTGCATATGCTGACATCTACAAAATCCAGCATAGCACCCCATGTTGATGGCATGCTCAGCGATGCTTATTCATTATTGGGACATAAATGGTGCGTGTCATGGTGCATGTCAGAAAAAATCTTGCTCTGCCTTCAGAGCAGGGCCGTGTACAGACCCAGTTGCTGTCCCAAGGCTTTCCTCTTGTGTCACTTTGCCTCTCCCTCCCTAAAACTGGCATGCCTTCAGGCCTCGGAATAAGACTATGGAAAAGTCATTCTTACCAGGCACTTCTTTGTGTGGCTTCTGGGTTGTTTCTTAGTAGCTTTGGTAATTTGTCAGTTACAAAGAGAGATCATGAATTCTCAGTCCTGAAGTTGCATAGCCTGGCCCATGCCAAGGCAGTGCGCTTACTTGTGTAACCTCCTGATAGTGCAGCTGAACACTCCTACTCCTGGCCTGGGCAGTCTGAAAATGGTGTGGTCCCAAATTAACTACCATTTATGCCTCCGGGTAAGATCTTAGTACTCCCCCTGCAGTAAGGTCTCAGTACTGCTCCCTGCAGTAAGGGCTCAATACGCTTCCTCCCCCCTCTCCCCCTCCAGTATGGTCTTGATATTCAGTACTCCCCAGTGCAACAAGGTGCTTGGTACTTGGTACTTACACTGTCTCTGATGCAGCCCCTACTCTCAGTTCCTCAGGGCCTTCACCGACTTCCTGGCCTTCATGGTCCTTTTCAACTACATCATCCCCGTGTCCATGTACGTCACAGTCGAGATGCAGAAGTTCCTGGGCTCCTACTTCATCACCTGGGATGAAGACATGTTTGACGAGGAGATGGGCGAGGGACCCCTGGTCAACACTTCTGACCTCAATGAGGAGCTGGGGCAGGTCAGTATCTGCTGGCATCTCCCATACTTTGCTAGTTCCGTGCCAACCTCCTGTGCGTCTCCAGATCTGATTCTCTGTGGCTCCCGCTGTGCTGCTAAGTCATCCTGAGGTCAGATGAGGCCTTTTCCACTGTCATGCATGCATTTAGACCCGCTGAAGGGCTGGCTTTGAACTTTATCTGCCTAACAACTGGCAGTTTATAACCTATGCCAAATTAATTGCACTAACCAAGTCTGGATTTTTTTCCTGTTTCTGGGCCTTACTGTTGTGTGGATGGGAACAGCAAGATCGCCTACCCTCTGCTTTTGTAGGTGATAATTAATCCTTACAGCCTCTTGTATCTTCTCTTTAAAGAAGACAGATGAGTTTCCATAACATCATGTGGCACAGAGTTCGGAATGCCTGGGTTTAGACTAGGGTGGCAGCCACATGAGATCAGGACCCTCATCTATACCCCCGAGGTGTCTTGTTCTGTGGGTATGGGAAACCATGGGTGCTACCTGGCTAGACATGGTGCAGATGACACAAAATGGTGGAGAGTGACTCAGAACCACTGGGGGTGGGAGGCTGTGCTGCCCACCCCACACACACACACTGTGTCCCTGCAGCATGAGGTCCCGTCTGGTTTTAGTGCTACCTGGGAACACAGAAGCGCAGAAAGTCGCACCCTGTCCTGACAGAAAGACCATTTGGTAGATGGCTCTCATTGTCCTCTGATCCAGCCTGAGGTACTGGTGGCTGCCATGGGCCCAGAGGCCCCAGCAGCGATGGTCCTGGGCTTGAGCTGCTTCCAGTGAGAAGTACCCTTCACTAGAAATGAGGATTACCTGGTGGTTGGTTTGGCATTCGCTACTTTCTTCTATTACATTCCACAGCCTGGGTGGGCTGCTTCTTCCTGGCAGCAATGCCCGAGTCAGGGCTGAGGGAAGAGCCCCCTGCAGCCGCGCAGCACACACGGCCTGTTTTGTGTGTTCCTGAGACACCTACTGGGAAAGGTTTTGCTCTAAGAGGAACATTAAGCAGTGCTAAGACCCTCGAGCCCTGTCTGGAGTCCACTGCGACAAGACTTGACCTATGCTCTCCAGAGCTAGGCTGCAGTGCTGGTTACAGGTGTCTTGTTCTGTCCCGAGGTCAGGACAGGCGGACACCTCGAGGCCACCTGTTGCCATCAGCGTCCAGTCAGATGATGCCTGCTCTCCACAGGCATGTGAGGTGCTGTGCGAGGCACAAGTCTGCTTCTCAGGGGAAGATGCAGCCCAGCTCTGTGAGGTCAACGACACCACCTCCATTTCCAGAGGGGAAACTGAGGCTCAGAAGATTGTCCAACTGTCCGTCCCAGAGGCCATGCTGCCTCGGAGTGGCAGGCTCTGTGCACGGTTGTATTGGAGCCTGCAGAGCCAGTGGCTGTTCCTGGCAGAGGAGGACACACCTGTGTTGAGCAAAGAGTGAAGAAAGAAGAAAAGCCACTGTCCCTACGGGGCAGAGATGCAAACCCCACGATGAACAATGACAAACAAGACCACCAGCACCAAGAAGACCAGGCACTGAGACCAGGTGCCCGAGTGACTCCACAAGCCCTGTGACCAGGCAGACCCACCCAATGCCACATGGCTCCCCAGTGCACATCAAGAATCAATGTAGCACACTGGCAGAAGAACAAGACAACAGGACAATGCAGAAAAAGCAACTGATGAGAGGCACGTGCCCTTCCTTCCATTCCTAACAGCCAGGTGTGGAAGGAAGTTCCTCAGCATACCTGAAAATGGTGTGGCCAGCCCTCAGCCAGAGGTCAGGAGTGGTCCAGGCACCTGCTCATGCAGAACAGTCAGGCAAAAGAAAGAAGTAAAGGGCATCCCAGGGAGAAGAGGAAGTTGGACTGTCCCGGTTTGCAGATGATATGATCTTATCTGTTGAAAACTAAGGATTCTGCTGCCAATCTGTTAAACCTAATGAATTCACATGAAGCCAAAAGCATTTCTGAACAACAAACTGTCTGAAAAACAAATCAAGGGCTCTCACAGACTTGGTCTAGTCGAAATGAAGGTGTCTCCTGGCTGTTCCTGGTTATCAGAACAATTTTCAGCCTGTCTCCATGATTGTAGAACTGGGGTAATGATGGTTAATAGGATTAAATGAGATAACCTCACTGCCTGGTAGATGTGAAGAGGTTAACATGTGGCAGTTATAGTTTTCTGTTGTTAGTTATCACAGGTACAACCCCTAGAAATGTGCTTCCTGTTTAGCTGTAGTTGAGCAGGTGGATAAATCCAACATCTTAACATTTATTCTTTTCTGTTTGACCCTTTTAAAAATGATGTTAGGGCGTAAAGCACACAGTAAGAAAGAATAACATTGTGCTGTGGCTTTATAGAAATAGGTTCGTAGCCTATTTCAGGCGGAAGGGGCTGCAGCGGGCTGCTCCCTTCTGTCCCTGTGTACTTTAACCTGACTTCAACCCCAGCTCTCCTGCCAGCACCCACCTTGTCTACCTCGGGCAGGGACAGTGCAGGCTTAGTGTCACCTTGTCCACCTTGCAGTGTGACCCAGAACCTGCTTCTTAGAGCTCCTCATGAAGAATATTTAACCCAAAATTGGGGTTTAAATGAGTAGCTATGTCTTCACCATGGTCTGTGCTTTGTCCATAGTCTATTTTGTCCTTTCCGTTGTTGGGCTCCTGTCTTCTAAACCTTGCATGGTCTTGAGTCTCGACTGCAGATGTTATGGTGACGTTACAGTGCTTTCTGTTGTTGCTTGGTGAGATCGCCCCCAGCCCACATTGTGCTGGCTCCTGAGGGAAGGCCCTCAAGAACAAGACCACGTTCTTTTCTGCTCAGCCTTGGTCACTCCTGTTAGGCGTGTGTGCTCCTGGGCCCTGTCTGGTGTGCTCCTGGGCCTGGTGTCAAAGGATGAGAGAAGCCCCTGTCTCACCTGTGTGTGCGCTGCCCCAGGTGGAGTACATCTTCACGGACAAGACAGGCACGCTCACGGAGAACAACATGGCCTTCAGGGAGTGCTGCATTGAAGGCCATGTCTACGTGCCCCACGTCGTCTGCAATGGGCAGGTCCTCCCCGACTCAGCCGGCATCGACATGATCGACTCCTCCCCAGGAGTCAGCGGGAAGGTACGCACCAGTGTGGGCACATGTGCTCAGGCAGTGCCTGTTCAGCATGTGAGTGTGCGTGGTTCTTGACACGTGTGCTTGGGCAGTGCCTGTTCAGGTTGTGAGTCTTGTGGCTCTTGCTCACAAAAGCCATCCCCTTTCATTCAGGGTGTCTGAAAAAGGCAGGGCTATCTGTGGTACCTCTGTGAGCCCATGGTGTGGATGTCACTGCGATACTCTGTTCCGGGGGGGGGGGGGGGCAGTTATTCACACATTAGAATTGACTTCTTGGAAACACCGTGTGGACAGAAAAGGCTGTGACCCAGAGTAACGTGTGAGCTTTACATGTATGTGCACACCCTTGTGTACAGGCACACATGTTTATGGATACATATGTGCACACCCACGTACACGGGTGGTAACCATACTCACGGCCCTTAGCAGGGTGGCTCCAGCTCCTGGCATCTGTGGGTAGGAGTTTAACACATAACACGACCAGGACACAAATTCTCTAACGTGAGCACCCCAGAGAAGAGGAGGGGTCAGGTGTCCTGTGGCTGCTGTAGATCAGCCCCCTTCCAGTCCCCCCTAGCTCCCCTACACACACACAGAGTCAGCCCTTCCTCTACTGCTCTGGCTGTACACAGGTTCCAGACCCTCCAGACCTCAGCTTCCATGTGCAGTGGGCAGCATGAAAGGAGTTATGCTTATGGGCAGAGGGCTGCAGTCAGCCTGCTGGGACCCAGCACACTAGTTCTGGCTCCTTCCTTGGGAGCTGAGGCTGCTGGCACACTGTACATAGCCATCTCCGTCCTGCACGGTGCAGGGTGCTGTTTGTTACCAGGAATGACAGCTCATCCAAGGTGTGGCTCTCGCATGTGACTTTCCCAAACTTGAAGCCATCGCTTGCCATTTTGAGTGTCTCACAGTTCCTGGCAGTGTCATGCTGGCCAGAGCCCCGCCTTCAGTCTGTCTCCTGTAATTTCACAGCTGGAAGACAGAGGAGCCAAATGTAGACCAGTGGAGGGCCGGGCCAGTGGCTGTCTCTTGGAGGCCAGGCCTTCTGTCAGTGGTCTTGTAGATTTGTCTTGCCTGTGTTTGGACAGGAGCGGGAGGAGCTGTTTTTCCGGGCTCTCTGCCTCTGCCACACCGTCCAAGTGAAGGAAGATGACCACGTGGACCTTGGGGATGGCCCCGGGAAGTCACCAGACTCAGCCAAGTCCTGTGTGTACATATCTTCCTCGCCTGACGAGGTGGCGCTGGTTGAAGGTGTGCAGAGGTGGGTCGGCCCCTCCAGCTTGGGTCTTAGAGTAGGTGGTGCATGGGCTAACACAGACCATACTCCGATTCACTCTGGAAAGCACCACTCACCCTCTGTGCTCAGCCAGGCCCGTCAGGGGGTGACCCTTGATGAAAAGCAGTGTGACTTTTGTTCTCTCCTGGCCATTTTCCAGTCATCTACAGTAAGCTAGTTCAGGCCATCTCCAGTGTCCTGGCATTCTAGGTGGAAGCCTTCCCATCTCCGGTCTTCCTCCTGATGCTGGAACACTGAGGCCCAGCTGTCCACAGTATTTCTAGTCATATCACTGGAAAGAAGTATTGGTGCCAGGTTCTGCCTGTTTTTTTGTGACTGATCATCCAAACAAAGCTTTTGCGCCCAATGTGGAGTCTTGTTTTCGGAGGGTCTTTGTTGAGGCCTCTTGGAGAGACATGCCAGTGTCAGTAGATGCTCAGGAAGGTGCTTCAGGCATCCCAGACATAGGGCACAGTTCCAGTCAGTGACAGTCCCCGACTGTTGGGAGTACTCAGCACTCAGGGTCTTCTCTGCCACTAAGAGCCAGGTGCTTACCCGCAGGGTGAGGGAACAGTGTGGCACGAGCTCTGTGCACTCATGCGTCCCAGTGCTGGTGTACACTGCCACGCTCTCCTGTGCTACAGCTCAGGCTTGGTGTTCATGTGAGGCACACGCATGAGGTTCCTGGGCTAGGTCAAGCTGTTGACAGATTTGCACAGTATTAAATAAGCCACAGTCCCCTGCAGACAGGCCTTCCCTATGGGCTCATGATTTCCATAGGGCCTTCTCCTTTGCTCTGGTTCCCACCTGGCACTATTAAGTGATGGGTTCCATCCCCATCTTTAGTGGGGTCCTCGGCCCTCCCCTTGCTCTCCCAGCAAGTGCCCTGCACCTGGAAAGGTGTGGCACTCCTCCACTGAGGTGCCAGTCAGCACTGTGCAGACCACATACCGACTGCTTCCCTGCACTGTGCGTCCTGGCAGGCCGCTGATGGCTGGCTGTGTGTAGACAGAGTTCTCATAAGAGACACAGTGGGTCATTAGTGTAATTACAGATCTGTAACTGTATTTTTCACAGTTCAGGCTGAAAAGTCCAGGGCCAAGGTGACAGCCTTCAGCTGTGTCCTTAAATGGCAGCGGCAGGGAGGGGGGGCTGGAGAAGAGGGGTGACACAGCACAGAGAGGGTGACACCGCACGGAGAAGGACGACACCACATGTCACATGCAGAGGCGGCACCCTCATGGCCGGGCTGCCATGGGTAGTCAGCTTCCCAGGCCAGGGCTGAGGGAGCCTGGAGCCACAGCAGGCGGCCTCCGAGGTCTTCCTCATCCTGACACCCACTAACTAGTATAGAGAGTAGCAGAAATAAGGACCCAGTCCAGAGTCCTGCTGTCCTCTTTCTGAAAACCATCACATGGAATGGCCCCTGTGTCTGGTGTGGGGAGGACAGGGTAAGCTGGAGACTTTGCTTGGAGCATTTTCTGAGTTGACAATACATTAGCTTTATGATCCCTTAACTGCATTATGCAACCTCTGTTTCGCTGGAAGGGTTTCTTCAAAAAGCAGCCTTTCTCTCACTCAGTGTGAGAAGTGTTGGGTGCTGGTTGGATTCTGCATTTCAGATTCAGCCAAGCCTTTGCCTTCTCTGTTGCAGGCTTGGCTTCACGTACTTAAGGCTGAAAGATAATTTCATGGAGATACTAAACAGAGACAACGACCTGGAGAGGTAAGGACACCATGATCTCCCATCGAAGAACCTTCTAGATACCTGCATGGTAGAAGGGGCAGGGGATTGATGATGTTATGGGGTGATCCCACCCAGTGTTTTCCTTGGAGGTATAAACTGGTGTTCAGTGAAGAAAGTTTCATTATCATGTATTTTTGGTCAACTCGGGAGTTCTCAAGGCTTCTAGAATATTCCTAGCTCCCAGACTCCTGTGACAGTCCATGAAGGGGATGGTTCGCACCAGTCCCCCATGTGTGGGTGGTGGAGCAGGTGTCCCTGAAGGCACTTTATACAACTGTGCCTTTGATCTCCATTGGGGACCACTCCAGTGTCACATTTGCCTCTCCCTGAGACCGCAGACTTGTCAGACGAGTGGGGTCATGTGTCCTCACAATTGATTGCAAAGGCAGGAATGGAGAGCAGGAGGTTTGTATTGAAGGCATCAGAAAACAGGGTTGGTTGTCATATCACATACAGGTTGATGCTGTCTTCTAGTCCATTTCACCACCTCCCTCAGCAGCTCAACCATTTTCAGAGCTGGCCTCAGTGCAGATCTCTGGTCAGCTTTCCACATCCACACAGATGTTATGTGTTGCCCCAGCAGAGGCTGAGCTGGGCATTCTGGGAGATCCAGAGCCTTCAAGGAGCGACCCACACAGGGTTGGCAGGACTGGCAGAGCGGAGGGTGCTGCCACCCCGCTGTGAGTTTGGCACTCCCCAGACCTGGAGGACAGTAAACTTGTTACTTTTCTTTTTCAGATTTGAATTACTGGAAGTTCTCAGTTTTGACTCTGTGAGGAGGAGAATGAGTGTAATCGTAAAATCTGCGGCAGGTAGGAATTTCTCTTAATATTTGAAATTTTACATAATTATGGCTTTATTCTGATGGCTAAATTCTGTAGGACCTTTAAAGTTTAAGATTTAAGAACTCTTTTTTTTTTTTTGAGGCTAGAGTAAGCCCTGACATGGTGACAGGTTGGGAAGGAAATGGGTGCTGGTGTCCAGCATAGTTGCATCTCTGTGGTGTCTTCCCAGGGTCATCTCACACAGTGTACATTGTATCTCTCTTGTGAGAGTCCCTGGCACTGCCACAATACACAACTTTACTGTTTTTGGCAGGACTGGGATTTGAACTCAGGGCCTTGAAGTTACTAAGTAGGTGCTCTACTACCTGAGCCACCCTTTTTCCTCTCCATCTTTGAATTCCCTGGGCTTTTCTAAGTAACAACACACTTAAGAGTTGTTTGAACCATGTGCTATTGTTGGGAATAGATTCTAAATCGGCCTGCTTGGTGTCAGTAGCCCAGCACCTGCTGCCCGTGGTGAGTGCCTAGGACCTGCGGGTAAACTCTCATTCCGTGATTCCGTGAGCACCGAGGGATGGGACCTGTGGCTTCCTCATACCGCTATTTCCTCCAGCTCTTCTCTAGCCTTTTCTTGGCCACAGGCTCTGCCCAGACACTCAAAACAGGTTTCCTGGTGCTGTCCCTTTCTGGCCGTGGTTGGCCTTAGCTGTGGCTACAATCCCAGGCTTGTCATACCAGTGTTTCAGATGCTTTTGTGCATCTCAGCACCTCCTAAAATCTAGAAGGCAAGGTGGGCTCCTAACATACCACCGAGCCATGGTCTTTGGTCCTTGTCAGCAGTCCAGAAATGTGTTTTTCCTCCCCCCAATTCCCCCCTACCGGAGGAGGTAACCCAGCTGGGTACTTGCCTGCCAGCCTCTGGTGCCCTCTAAACTTGGCTGCTGCACATGTCTAAGGGCTCACAGCATCAGGGGCCTGTCCCTGCCTGGGGAAAGGTGTCCGAGCTTCCTGGGAACTTCACGTGGATGATAGTGTGCCCCTTCTGCAGCCCCCTGACCACCGTGGTGCTGCATGGTGGCATTTCTATGACGACATACAGCAGTGAGCTGCAGGCCCTGCAGGCCTGGGGCACGTGCCTGAGGATGGGCTCCCTGCCCCATCAGAACTAGCACCCCACCAGAGCGCAGTTTCTGCTGGAGCAGAGAAATGCTTTGTCTTGAGGAGTAAAAATCATGTAGGCACAGCACAGAGTTGTTCCAAATTGGCAAATGTGACGGGAGGTATGTGGGGAAGATCTTGTTTCTCATGACTAACAGAAAAGATGGACGGCCTTGTTCCATGCCAGGGCGCTCACAGGGATTTTGTGTCCGCCTAGAACTTCAGCAAACTGCAACCCTCCTCTGCGGTCAGACACTGCCCTAGCCTTGCTGCACCTCCACCGCCGCCCTGGTCCCAGGGCATTTTGTTCCTTACTGATGTCTGTGCCAGGAGAGGAGAAGGAGACCAAGCACCCAGAGCCAACTTTTGTTTGCGATTCCTTTCTCTGACATTTTTTAATTTTGCAAGTTAAATGAGGTTTTGGTATAGTCCATGGATTTAATTTTTTCCTGATATTACTCTTTTACAAATTAAATGAGGCTTTGTTACAGCCTATAGATTTAATTTTTTTCCCGATACTACTATGTTAACTGATCCAATAAAATCTTTAAAACAGTATCATTATTTCTGTCATGTGTTAAATTCACATGATTTTTTTTCACTTTACAGGAGAAATTTACCTGTTTTGTAAAGGAGCAGACTCTTCTATATTTCCCAGAGTCATAGAGGGCAAAGTGGACCAGATCCGCTCCAGAGTGGAGCGCAATGCGGTGGTGAGTGCTCACTGAGCTCTGGCCCCTGCCTCTGCTCATGGTAGCAAACTTCTTTCAGCTCTGATGCTTTCTGACACCAAAGGTAGCCTTGGTGCTATCTGTAATGACAGCACTCATTCCTCTTTGTTGATGCTTTGAGCCTGGGATCTGGGGACAGAGCTCCTGAGGAGGACTCACACCCTCAGGGACAGAGAGGCACACAGGCCCTCATGCCCTGGAGTAAGACAGTGTGAGGACACTACCCCCAGAGCCCCAAGCTAATGTAAATGTTCTTTCTATTCTGCACCTTTTACCTGACCTCAAATGAACATTCTTAAACAGCTTTGAGCAGAGTAAGTTGGGCTTCGTGGAATTTTCCAAGGCACTGTTCTTGAAATCTCGCTGTTAAGTGAAGTTTCAGATGGAGGATCTGCTCCTTCAGGATCACTCCGACAGACACTGGGGCAGACTGACACTGCTCACACTTCCGTGTGTTCTGGAGGATTCTCCCTTATCTAGGAGAGAAATATTTTTCCTTGAAAGGGTGGAAGCCTGCATTGCATTAATTATGAATTGAAGTCCATCTGCTTTTTCAGAAAAACATTTACAAAGGTCTGGTTGACACATACCAGAGTGATACATGCATGCATAATGAGAGTGTAAAAGTGACAAGTTTTCAGTCAGAAAAGCGTTGGCCCTAAATTACCCACTCGTTGCATGCCCTGTCTGGATCCCTACTTCCAACTGTTGTCTTCTAGAGTTTCTATTGGTACAGTCAGGAAACACATACTAATTTATCTGGCTTTCACTGTACATAAGTATTTTGAGATTTATTACAGGTGTGGGTACCAATTGTTCACTCCTGTTTTTGCTGAGTAATGCAGTCCATTGCGTATTGTGTGAATGGATCACAACATGTTTAATCATTTACTCATTGGTGGACATGGGATTTTTTTTCCACCCTGAGGTTGAGTGAAACTACTGTGAGTTGTTTGGTGTACATTTTCGGTTTAAAAGAGCGTGGATTTTTCTCTTGAGAAACCCACATCATAATTGTTCTTGTTCCTCTGTATGCAGTACATCTTCTTTTTCTTTGTAGAAAAAGCTTTGAGCTTTTCTTCATGATATGCCTTAGTATCATAAGGGTGTTGGCTTTTCAGCATCTTAGACATGTAAGTCTTCATCAAGATTGGAAATTTTAGCTGGGTGCCAATGGCTTCACGCCTATAATCATAGATACTCAGGAGGCTGAGATACGGGGATCATGGTTTGAGGCCAGCCCAGGCAGGAGAGGCTACAGACTCTTATCTCCAGTTAACTAGCTAAGAGCTGAAAATGGAGCTTTGGCACTAGTGGTAGAGTGCTAGCAGGCTTTCTCCTCTGCTCCTTTTGATGACTCGTGCCTGGCCTCTGTGCATTTGCTCACCTGTGCATGGTCTTCTGTTCTCTGCCGGACACTCGGGCATCTCTTGCTGCCTGGAGCTCTGTTCTGAGGCTTGTCCTGACTCTCAGGCCCCTCCCACACCACAGAGAACTCGTCTCTGCACTGGAGTCCCCATGAGCACCAGACCATTCCAGACACTGAGCCAAGGCACTCACAGGCCCTACCTGGATATTAACACTGGATTTTTTTTTTTTTTACATTATTACAGATGGTGGAAGTAAAGCTAGTTGCAAAGATAGTATAGAAAAGACCATTGTATCCTTCAAGTCTAGTTACCTGAAGATTGCCCCTGTGGTTTTTTCCTACGAGTTTCATGGCTTTAGCTCTTAAATTTAGGACTTTGATCCATTTGAGACAGTTTCATATGACGTTAGGTAAGGGCTTAATTAATTCTTTCATGCGTGAATGTCTTCCCACCATTTATTAAGGAGACTGAGTGGTTGTACGCACATTGAAGGGTGCATATGTCAGTGACTTATTTTTGGCTCTCAATTCTGCCCACTCTTCTCCACTGTCAATGTTTATTGTCTCTTTCTAGTAAGTTCTGAAGCCAGAATAGGAGTGTTGTCTGACTGTCTTCTTCTATGTGGTCATTGTGAGTGCCTTATTATTCAGCGTTGATCTCTGCCTGGGTTTTTCCATTCTGCAGAAATACAAGTAGGGTTTTGTTAAGGGTTTTGATAGGGATGACATTGAATCTGTAGTTTTCTTGAGTAGTAGTGTGATCTGAAATCAATTTGAAGTCTTCTAATTCACAAACATGATTTCTTTCCTTTACTGGAGGCTTCTGTTTTGTGGTTTTTAGTCTAGGATTATTTTTTTTTATTTTTTTATTTTTTTAGTCTAGGATTATTTTTTATTATTTTTTTAGTCTAGGATTATTTTCCATGATTACACCTACTCTCAAGTATTTTTCTCCTTTTGGTGCTTTTGTGCATGGAACGATCCTGTTAATTTCCTCTTCTAGTTGTGTCTTGGGGGTGTATGAAAACGCAGCCGGCCTTGGTGCACTGCTCTGGTTGGGTGTGCCCTTGCTGGACTTACTGATGAGTTCTAACCATTTGTGTGGCAAGATGGTCGTCCTTCATGGTTTCGTCTGCAAATGGTCTTTAGCAAGGCTTTATTTCTAATCTGGGTATATTTACCAAGCAGGCAAGTCTTTGTCTTGTTCTTTTCTTGAAGAAAAGCTCTGCCTTTCACCATTGAGGGTGAGGTTAGCTGTTGATTGTTCAGATGCGGTTTTTCTCACATTGAATGAGTACCTTCTAATCTGCACTTATTGAGTGGATGCTCGTGAAATGGCTCTTAATTTTTTTCAAGTGTTTTTTCTCCAGTTCACATAATATCATTTTTTTTCTTTCATCCTGTTAATGTCTCATATTGGGTGATTTCATGTGTGAATTCCACTTGGCCTCGGTGTATAGTCCTGTTGTGTTGGGTTTTCTGGCACTGTGGAAGATTTCTGCATCCATATTCTGAGTGGACCGTGGACAGGTACAGATACTGTTCTGAAGATTCCTGTTGCCTGCTTATCTGGCTTGTGTTGCTCACATCAGGGTGCTTGATGTGCAATAGGCAGGACTCCAGCAGTGCTGAGCAGGAGGAATGGGGAAAGCACTTTTGCCCCTGAATCTATAAGAGAAGTTCCTAGTCTGCTTTTAAAAACAAACACCTATTTATTTCTGAAAGCCTCTGCTTACCTTGCACTCCACCTTCTGGGGGCAACTCTGGATTATTGTCCTTGTCATGTAGTTTTTCTGGCTGGGAAAAAGGTATCTGCCTTGCTTCCGAGAATTCTGTTTTTTTCTGGCTCTCAAGGGCCATTAACCCAGCAGTGGACAAGCTTGGATGTCTGAGCGGCGCAAGCAGTGGGAAGTGGTCCTCAGTTGTGAGATGTTTTGGCATGTAGTGGGAAGTCTTTTTAAAAACCTTAAACATTTTCTCAGAATTCAGAAGGCTTCTGTTGGAGGATTATGGTTCTCTCACTGTCATGAGGGGAGGCATGGGGAGAAGGTAGGGTCCGGGAGAGCAATGGCCACTCCTTTGCAGCGGCCTGGAGTGCCAGGGCCTGCACGAGGGCCTTTCATCTCAGCACCTGGCTCAGCCTTCCTTGTTGTCTGGTACTGTGTGTTCTCCACAGATAGAGACATCCAGAATTAGGATCACATCACAGGACCTGTTATCCTTAAATTCTGGTTTTCGTTTTCTGTATACCCAGTAATGTGAACAAATGGTTTTATCATCTTCCTTCAGTGAGCACTAAATAAGATAAAACCACTCCACATGCTCCCCACCCCCTACAGTGTGCTTAATTTACAAATACCAAATAACATTGACCACAGCATTGCAGATTTAAATATCCCACTAAAATTGCCAGACACAGTATAGTATGCCTGTAATCCAGCACTCAGGAGGCTGAGACGGGAGGCTTTTGAGCTCAAGTCCAATATAGGCCTCATAGTCAATTAGTTTAAGGTAAATCAGAGCTTTTGTAATAATCAGTATATATATATATATATATATATATATATATATATATATACACATACATATATATATGTATGTATGTATATGTATAATCATAAATAAGGTTTAAACTGAATGTTGCATTTGGCAAAATAAAGATGCAAAATATCTTTTTGTATCATGGCCTGACTTAAGTTATTACCTCCACCTTTTTAGTTTGGAAGATTCATAATCCATATTGATGATTCATTTTTAATGTAAATATAAATAATTTATTTGTAGCTGACTCTGCTCAGGGCTGGCTGGGCTGTGATTCCCCAGCTTGTCATTATTTGTAACTGACTCTTCTCAGGGCTGGCTGGGTTGTGATTCCCCGTCTTGTCATCTGGTTAGAGGGGCTTTGCAGAAGTCTGGAAATGGCGTTCAGCAGGCAACGTTGGATTCTCCTTGAAACACTGCTTTGTGTCCTATAGGAGGGACTCCGAACCCTGTGTGTGGCCTACAAACGGCTCGCTCCAGAGGAGTATGAAGGTGCCTGCGCACTGCTGCAGGCTGCCAAGGTGGCCCTTCAAGACCGAGAGAAAAAGCTGGCAGAAGCCTACGAGCAGATCGAGAAAGACCTTGTTCTGCTGGGTGCTACAGCTGTTGAGGACCGGTAAATGCAGCACGCTGTAGGGGTGGGGAGGGAGGGCACTCAGCACACACTAGGCCGGCTCAGGTTTTAAGAGAGTGAGGCTGTCTTGTCCCTAGCCTGGCACTAGGGACGAAGCTCCCACTCAGGGTTTGAGAGATTATTTCTCTTGTTTGGTTGGGTTTTTTGGCAGTCTGAAATTCCAATTCAGGGCCTTGTACCTGCTAGGCAGACTGCGTGAGTCCTGCCCCAGACACCCTCCTTCACTGCTTGTTGGGAAGACAGGGCTCCTTAGTAGGACAGTTACCCAGGACACAGTGGTTCAGGAAGCAGGGGCTACTCTGGCAAGACAGCATCTGTGCAGTGTGCAGGGGCTCTGGAAGCAGCTGAGGTAGGTCATGTCTGAATCCATAATTGGGACTCGGTGCATGAGAGTTAACAGCCAGGGGCAGGAGGTTGTGGCATGATAGTATCTGATCACCAGGCTTTGCAAGCTGTTGCAGGCCTAGATGCCTTTTCAAAAATTATAAAGACTGCCAGATGCAGGTGGCTCACACCTGTAATCCTAGCTACTCAGGAGGCTGAGATCTGAGGATCACAGTTTGAAGTCAGCTTAGGCAGGAAAGTCCATGAAACTCATCTCCAATTAACCACCAGAAAACTGGGAGTGGCACTGTTGCTCAAAGTGGTAGAGCACTCGCCTTGAGCAAAGAAGTTCAGGGATAGTGCCTAGGCCTGAGTTGAAGCTTTACGACTACCATCGCCACCACCAACAAAAACCATAAAAGACCAAGCTATTTTTCCTCATCTCCAGAATCTGTGGTTGTATGGTCTTTGCCCTTTGATTTAAGAAATCCTTTCCAGAATCTCTGAGAATCCTTCCTTTCCTCTGCATCTTTCATTGAGCACTCATAGGAACAAGGATGTGTCCCATGTTTCTGAAAAGTGAGACTGAATCTAGAGAGTTTCGGCACCCATGATGGCTAGCCGGTGCCTGTCCTCCACACATCTGTGAGCCTCTGCAGCCCTGCCCACGGCGGCCAGCCAGTGCCTCTTCTCCACACATCTGTGAGCCTCAGTGGCCTTGGCTCTCCCTGTGTAACTGATGGTGGTGAAGTCTGATGCTGTAGAGTTATGCTGGGGAAAGGTCCTGCACACTGGGCTTCACATGGTCTCTGCATATGCTAAACTTGTGACACACACATCACTTGTGCTAAACCTGTGACACACATAAGCTAACTGTACGACCACTGGTCTCACTATCAGGATCTGGTGTTATCTAGAGGCCCCTGGGCTCCAGTTTAATAAGCAACATTTATTTTACAGCAAAAGAGCGTATCATGGATACTGCTGGCCACCTCTCACACTGATGCTGTTCCCCTCTTATGACTTTTGTGTTGGGCCTAGGAAGGTGGCTCAGTGGGAGAGTGCTTGTCTCGCATGCATGAAGCCCTGGGTTCGATTCCTCAGCACCACATAAACAGAAAAAGCCAGAAGTGGCACTGTAGCTCAAGTGGTAGAGAGCTAGCCTTGAGCTGAAGAGCTGAGGTACAGCACCCAGGCCCAGAGTTCAAGCCCCATGACCAACAACAACAACAAAAAAAGACTTGTGTTGACTTAGGCTCTGGAAGGAACTCCTAGCTCAGTGCAAATGGGCATAAATGGTGAGATTCAGCCAGACAGAAAACCGCGGTGGAAAGCCTGGAAAACAGCCTCCTTGTTCTAGAATCTAGCCTTGTGTTTGTGGGCCTGGTGATATGTGTATTTGTGAGAGTGGGCTCGGGGTCTCGCCGGTCCTTTGCACAGGGACCGTGAGCAGTGCCTTACCGGCTCATGCCATGTGCCAAGTTACTGTTGTCCTGAGAGCCACACTGCTTGGTTGGCTCCATGTTTCTGAAACTCTGATGGTCTTTTTCAGTCCTCATTCCCATGTCCACCCACTCTGACAGGCTCCAGGAGAAGGCTGCAGACACCATCGAGGCTCTGCAGAAGGCTGGCATCAAGGTCTGGGTGCTCACTGGGGACAAGATGGAGACCGCCGCGGCCACCTGCTATGCCTGCAAGCTGTTCCGGAGAGGCACACAGCTACTGGAGCTGACCACCAAGAGGATGGAGGAGCAAAGCCTGCACGACGTGCTGTTTGAGCTGAGCAAGACAGTGCTGCGCTGCAGTGGGAGCCTGACCAGGGACACCTTCTCGGGGTAGGCGGCAGGGGCCTCCTCTTTCCAGCCAGATCCTCATTACACACAGGAAGCCCACTTTTGCTGTACTGATGATAGTTCATGTAAATGTTCATCTCTGTACGGTTGCTAGACCCATCTTCTTGCACATGTGTGCATGTGTACAGTTCAGACTGCTAGGGAAGAGTGCAGAAAGATAGGAATGGTGAAATATATTGATTGGGATCATTCCCATCAACTCCTAAGATGCAGGGCTGTGTTACAGATCCCTTCACCCTCCCAGAGGGCCAGGCAGTATTAATAATTCAGGGTGCCTGTCTGAGACACAGCAGGATGCCCCCAAGTTGTTTCTTTCCAAGAACATCCAGCACTTAGGCAGACATGCCTTGTAACCGCTGCCCTGGACTATGTCTGATGCATCCTCTGAGATTAGGTCTTATCTCATTAATGTCAGTAAAGGCAAATCATCTTTCTAATCATACACATCCTAAATTACCCTTAAATAGCAAAAAGATATTGCCATGTCACCCATCAGCAGAATTCCTTTTAGGGATTAGAGTTTGTTTTGGGTTTTTTTTTTTTAAGCCTAGCACAGAGGAAATTTTGATCACATTCTAATAGCTGAGGTCATCTGGACAAAAACCTGAGGAGATAATTAGCTATGTAGAGAGACTAAGGCTAGCATGGGAGCCCAGGAAGACCACAATACAGACTGACTTCTCTAAAGGCCAGATGAATACTCCCATGTGATTCCAAGATTCCTGGAGTTCCAGGACGAATACATGGGGAGCTGCGTGGCTTCCACAGAGTTCAGTAAGAATGCCATGAAGCGGGCTCCAGGCGGGCCGGAGTGTCCACCATGCTAGGTTGTCTAAATAAAATGAATTGCTTCTTGGTTCCAGAGATCTGTGAGCATCTGTAGATTCCCCAGAGTGTAGTGTTCTCAAATGTGTAGGCTTAGTGGCTGATCTTTCTGTTTCTATGATCTCATAGACTTTCAACAGACATGCATGACTATGGTTTAATCATTGATGGAGCCGCACTGTCCTTAATAATGAAGCCACGAGAAGATGGGAGTTCCAGCAACTACCGCGAGCTCTTCCTGGAGATCTGCCGGAACTGCAGCGCTGTGCTGTGCTGCCGCATGGCGCCCCTGCAGAAGGCCCAGGTCACAGCCCTTTCTGTTCCTCTGCCGTGGAGGGTGGGAGACCCTAGAACAACTTCAAGAAAGTGAGGCAAAAATGCTATGTAAAAACTGAATTTTAATCGCTAGAGTTTTGTTTTGTTTTTTTTGGTCAGTTGTGGGGACTGAACTCTGGGTGTGGGTGCTATCCCTCAGTTCTTCAGCTCAAGGCTAGCTTTCTACCACTTGAGCCACAGCGCCACTTCCTACTTTTTCTGTTTATGTGGTGCTGAGGAATGGAACCCAGGACCCCATACATGAGAGGCAATTACTATACCACTGAGCCATCTTTCCAGCCCCCAAAACTGAATTTTAGATCTCTCGAGAAGCAGTGAGTCCGGTGGACCCTGGAGAGAGACACCATGTGGGGCTCACAAATATCGACCCACGAGGGTCTCCCGGTGGGGAGACGATGCTGACTGACCTGTGCCACCCATAGGCAGCAGTGCGTCTGCCTTCAGAATGTTAGAAGATGAGGTTAGCCTCGTTTTACAAGCTGGGCTATCTCGTCCAAAAGTGTGCAGGACTTGTCTGTTGTACTCCAAATTATGCCTCTGCACTCCCCATTCTTGTGGAAAACGTACCTGAAACATTTCTTAAATGCTTTCTAATGCATCATGGAACACACATGATAGGGCTGGGTTGCTCCGGTGCCTTGAAGTGGATGATCTGGTTTCAGGACGCCACATTTTAGGTGCAGTGCACTGGCTCACCTTGCATTGTTCATGAAAGGAACTCATACCTGCTTAGCCTGGAGAATGAGACTACACAGACTGAGAAGTGGGTCTCAGGAGGCCCCTCAGTCACCTGCTCCGATAACCTATCAGCATCCCCATGGGACTCTCACAGAAGATAAGCTGAAATAGCTGGGAGTTGAGGGGCTCTATTCCCACTCCAAGTTCTCCTCTACAGAACCTACAACCATTTCCAGAAGTTAGCTTGTTTGTTCAGTGGTGCTGAAAGGTTTAATGGGAGCAAACGTGTGCTTCAGCCTCTCACGTTGAACCCAGAAGCTGACCACACTCCCATCTCTCAGGCCTTGGGCTCCACACAGTCGCACATGGATACATGGGCAAGGCACGCGGATGGGGAAACAGAGAAATTGACCAAACACTTAGAAATTATTCATTGCATTAAGTCGCTAGATTTGATTTTTTTTATACCTGACAGGTTGAAAGTTAAAATCGTATCAGGATCACTTAAACTTTTTTTTTTTTTACTTGGTACTACATCCCTTGGGACTGCATCACGGTACCACGTCACAGAACGCAAGTCGGTTTGTGCTGGGCTACTTGGATTCGGAAGTGTGAGGACAGCTCTGCACAGCCCTCCAGTCAGGGCACTGCAGTCCACTCTTAGTAACCCTACTGGGCTTCATCTTGCTTTCACTATGAACAGGATTTTGTCCTCTATGGAAGAATTGAGTGTCCTAAATTAGCTCTTTTCAAACAACTTTTTCCTCTTTGTAGACTAACTTTGCATATTAGCTTTGCCTACTAGTAATTAACTGGTTCTTTTTTTAAAAAAATGAAATTGACAAAATTTCTACATTTATTTACTTTCCAGATTGTTAAGTTAATCAAATTTTCAAAAGAGCACCCTATCACGTTAGCCATTGGTGATGGAGCAAATGACGTCAGCATGATCCTGGAGGCCCACGTGGGTATAGGTACGCTGTTGCTGTCGGATAGGGGTCCGTTGCAGTGGTGCACGGAGAGCCTCTGGGCAGCCGCATGTGGTTAGCGCATGGGTGGTGGGGACACCGTGGATGCGGCCCTCCGCCTCCATGGGCTCGGCTCACCAGCCTGCCCTTCCTCCCTCCCAGGCGTCATTGGCAAGGAGGGCCGGCAGGCGGCAAGAAACAGCGACTATGCAATACCGAAGTTCAAACACTTGAAGAAGATGCTCCTTGTTCACGGGCATTTCTATTACATTAGAATATCTGAGCTTGTGCAGTACTTCTTTTATAAGGTAGGATGATGCCTTTTCTGCTCATCCAGTGGCATGTAGCACTGGACGCAGTCAAGGCAGGCCATCACTACCATGGTCCTTCACCTAAAAATAAAAGTGACTGTCGGGGCACCTTGGCCCCTCTGCCGCATGACACATCAGGCTCCATGCATGGAACTTCTAGCTCCTTAAGAAACAGGAAGAATCAGTTGTGGGATGTTGGGTGATAGTCCTCTGTTTCCCCCACTAGGCAGGCAGTGTCTTTGCTGCCACTGTCTTGGCTCCATTAACTAACTCTTCATGTTGTTTCTACTCAGGATAGCACAACAGTCAGAGTAGTTGCGCACACATTTTAGTCGTCATTGTAATTAGAAATACCGAAGCCCATTGTGTTGTTTTGTAAGGTCCACCCCTGGAGCCCCTGTGTGGGCAGCAGGCTGCGCCTACTATGCTGGGAGCCCCGGGCGGGCCTGTTCCCTCGCCTGCACCCACTAACACTTGTGGCTTGCCTTTCAGAATGTCTGCTTCATTTTTCCTCAGTTTTTATACCAGTTCTTCTGTGGATTCTCACAGCAGGTGAGTCCTATGTCCTAAGTGGGAAGTTTGCCTGATCCTGATCCTGGGGAGGTTTCCTGAGGAGCGAGGACTTGGGATATGCGAATGAAGGAGGGGGGCAGAAATGTGGATGTGAGACCTCAGGCAGGTGAGGCCCCTCCTGGGCTCCCCCCCAGCAGCTGGGCCAGCAGACCCAAGCTGGAGGTGGTGATCACAGTTACAGGCTTTGAGACTCTAAGCAGGTTTGCAAGAGTAGAGCTGTTGTTTAGCCCTGCCTGGTGGATAGGGTGGGTGGAGCTTTCACAATTGCCCTGGGCCTTCTGTTTCTGTGGAAAGAACGGCTCTTGACAAGTATTTTGCACTGCTTGTGCTGCTTTGTAAATTAGAAAATACCATCACAGTGAGCCAACACAACTGTGAAAGTGCCTGGGGTGCTGTTCAGCTGACTTTTCCTTCCTGCAGACTTTGTACGATACTGCGTATCTGACTCTCTACAATATCAGCTTCACTTCCCTGCCCATTCTTCTGTACAGCCTGATGGAGCAACATGTCAGCATGGATGTGCTGAAGAGAGACCCAACCCTGTACAGGTGTGCACCCAGCCCCTCTGCACGCATAGCACAGACCTTGTGAGTAGGTAGGGCTGATTTCTCCCAGGAGTTGCAGATGTTAAAAAGCCAGAAACACCCAGAACCAGCTCATGGGCTCATTTCTACAGGCGGTCTTCACACAGAAGGGAGGTCTTCACACAGGAGACACACACAGGAGACACACACACAGGAGACACACACAGGAGGCCTTCACACAGGAGGCACACACAGGAGGTTTTCACACAGGAGGCACACAAAAGAGGCCTTCACACAGGAGGCCTTCACATAGGAGGCCTTCACACTGGAGGCAACCATAAGAGGCCTTCACACAGGAGGCCTTCACACAGGAGGCACACACAGGAAGTCTTCACACAGGAGTCCTTCACACAGGAGGCACACAGGAGGTCTTCACACAGGAGGCCTTCACACTGGAGGCAAACATAAGAGGCCTTCACACAGGAAGCACACACAGGAAGTCTTCACACAGGAGGCACACATAAGAGGCCTTCACACAGGAGGCCTTCACACAGGACACGCACACAGGAGGCTTTCACACAGGAGGTTTTCACATAGGAGGCACACACAGGAAGTCTTCACACAGGAGGTCTTCACACAGGAGGCACACAAAAGAGGACTTCGCACAGAAGGTCTTCGCACAGGAGGCACAAGACCTTGCAGCACTGGTGAATGTGGATTGTTCTGTTTTTCCCTCGCTTTGCTGCTAGGGAGTTGGGGAGCAGCCACGGGACTGCGCTGACCCTCCTAAAGCCCGGAGGCTCGTGGCCCACACTGCCCTGTGGTTGGTCCAGTTCAGAAGGGCTCACTGGTCCCATGTGTGTGCTGTTTACTCCTGAGTCTTATTGTTTTTGTTCTAAGTAATCAGGAAAAGATTCACAACTGCTCCAGGATCTTTGGCAGCTTCAGTATCCTCGTGCATTGTGTGTGTGTGTGTGTGTGTGTGTGTACTGCAGCTTGAACTCAGGGCCTTGTACACTTTCTTGGCTTGCTCACAGAGGGCAGTACTCTTGCCACTGGAGCCTCTCCTCCTGCCAGCACTTTGGTTGTTTGACTAGAAATGGATTTCCTTGAACCTCTGATTCCAGACTTCAGAGTAGCTAGGACTTTGTCTGTGTGTCTCCAGCACCTGGCTTGTAGCAGCCTTTTAAATTACACTCTAGTTTTTAGACCATTTAGACACACATGTAGCTGTAAGAAATAAGTACTACAGGGAAGTGCCTATGCTTTTTTCTAGTTTCCCCCTGTAGTTCAGGTCAGAGGCTGCCACAGCCAGCCAGCGTCAGGTTCATCTTTCACCTCTTGACTTCCCAGGGTCACCTGTACAGCTATATGTGCAAGTGAGCATGTGCACAGTTAGTTCTCAGTCTCCACCTATATTGGTCCCGGAGCCACTCCACCCTTAGCCTCTCTGCCTCTGTTAGAGCACTTGGCCACATATGCATCCTTGACATTTAAGGATCTAGAAGCTTCCCATTACTTGAGACATGAATCCAAGGTGATACCATAGCTGAGACCTGGGGGGGTGCACAGTAGGCCCAGGTTCTCTGACATCATATGTGTGTTAGTTACCTTCAGAAGACAGGCTGTGCACATCTTGTAATGACATTACAGCTTAGTGTTGATGGGAAAATTTGGCATCAGACACGTGTGCTGCCGCGCAGGGGTGGTTGCTGCAGAGGTGGAAGTGGCACGCATGGGCGGGTCTGTGCAATGTCACAGTGTCATTAATATTTTCCATCTCTTTCCTTATACAGAGACATCGCCAAGAACGCACTGCTCCGCTGGCGGGTGTTCATTTACTGGACATTCCTAGGAGTATTTGATGCGTTGGTATTTTTCTTTGGTGCTTATTTCATGTTTGAAAACACTCCAGTGACCAGCAACGGACAGGTCAGTACTGAGCTTGATCTTGTTGGCTTGCCTGCTTAGTCATAAACCCCACCTGTGTGGTCATTTTGTGAGAACAGCAGCACAGCTCAGCCTGGGGTTAGGTGGTGGGCCCCTGTGTGTGGCAGGATATGTTACATCAGTGTGGCGGCTGTGCCATTCCACAGGCAGCCGCTGACAGCTGTGGATTCATTCCTTGGGTTTGCCCGGCTGATTTGTAACTTCACCTTCCACCCTTAGCTAGTGACAATTCCATTCAGGCCTGGCTCTTCCCTGTGGGAGTTGGTGCGGTCTCTCCTGGGACTGCTTCTGTGTGCCTCCTTTGCAATGAGTAAATCTGTAGTTTTCTAGTGGATGTTCAGCGCTAGTTGTTTGCGTACTTTCTGGGGTTTGTTTTATGCGTATCTCGCTTTTTTCTCTTTGCCACTTGCCTCACTTCCACCCTCAGATAATGACCACCAACACACACATGGTAAGACAATCTGGGTTTGTCCTCTCTGTGTTTTTTGGAGTGCCTTACAAATAAAATATTTCTCGAAAATATTTTCAAACGTGACTCCTTCTGTGTGTTTTGTCGGTAGAGATGCTGTTAGCCGCTCCTACCTCCCCTGGCGTCAGAGCTGCGCACACGCGTTCTGACCGCCTCCCAGGTGGGTCCTCTCCTGGATCTGTGTTGGGGCTGCAGTGGAAACTGGCTGTGTTCAACAGCATCCATATGCCACTGTAAATGAGGGTATAGGTGGCTTGTTGGGGACCCTGCTCTGGTGGCTGCCTTCACTGGCCAGGGTGGCCGAGAGGCATCAGGCAGTCCTTACATTGTCCCCAAGGTACCAGGCTGGATGTTCAGACAGACACTGCTTGAGCATCAGAAAAAATCCCTCTCAGCCACCACTTCAGGGCAGCAAATGAAACAGAAATGCTTTACATTTCTCGTTTAACCCCGTTACCACTCCCCTCCCCACTGTTGTCTGCCCTGTGTCCATCCCCTAGACTATTGCAGTGAAACCTGAAACTGGGTGCATGTCCTGGCTGTGTGTTTACCCCTCGTTTCTCTTTGCTCATTACAAAATGGTGCTGTTATCTTTCATTATTACTTAATTCACTTTGGCTAAATCAGTTCTGATAATTTGAAACTTCACTCCTCTAAAAATGTGATGTTTTTCTCTCATTGATCCTTTGTCTCAGCTTACTTTAATCAGCCAGCTTCTGAGTGCTGCCAGACTTTATGTGTAGATAGAGCTACTGTGGGTTCTCACAGATTTGTCTATGCTCAGGCTTTAGATATGTGTCTTGTCTGTATTTTAAACATCTGTCCTGAGGACTTGACTCCACACCATGATGGTGTTTTGTCTCAGTTCAGTCCCTGTCAGCGTGCGGTCGCTGGCCTGAGGAGGTTAGAAGCAAGTTTTTGCAAGACCAGGTGATAGTGAGAGGCGTGCTCAGAACTCAGGCCATGATTTGTGCCAGCATCTGCCTGGTCCTTGCTGCCTTGAGTACCTGTGGTCCCAGCATCTCAAGGACAGTGGCAGCCACTCCCTGTTCCAGAAGGGTGAGCAGAGTGCTTGTGTCCAGCCTTCCCAGAGCTGCCCACCATGCCCCTCCCATCCTCTCTCACTTGCTATGGCTGCAGCTGGCTGGTGGGTACGACCCACGGGGAATTTTAGGGTGCCCTGCCCACAAGACTCATCCTCTACCCCCTGCACCTGTCAGGTCTCCTCCTGGGAGGATGCACCTTGGTGGCCCTGCTGTGTCCCCACATGTCACATGACTGTCATCAGCCTTATTAGTCAGATCTTGAAATGAGAAGAGAACAGAGTTCAAGGCAGGAGTGCACGGGGCCAGTGTAGCAGCCCTCAGAGCCTGCCACTGATGGAGGACTTCAATGGCCCTCTTCAATACATGCTGGCCTGATGGTAGAGGCTTAGAGTGCAAGACAGGCCTCTCGTTACATAAGTGCTCCTGAGGATCTTGGGTCAGGAACATGGGCAGTGCCCAGGGCACCAGAATCGGGCATAGAGACAGGATGCTGCGAGGTACCAGGCTCTGAGCAGACCTGGGGCTGGACTGAACCTGGCCCCAGGCATCCATAGGCCTTCAGAAGTGATTCAGGGGAAGGCGTTGGAGGAATTAGGATTACCAAGCCCCCTCCGTGGGCAGCGAGTAGCCAGTGGATACTCTGCCTCCATCTCCAGATATGTGCTGCCCACTCTGCCCCAGGCTTCTGGGGCCCCTCTTCCTGGACAGATTAGTGTGTGCGTCTAGGGCAGTGAGGTTGTTCACTTACACTACTAAACTAAAAGCAGTGTCTCAGGCAGGTTTTTCAAGTCAGTAGCCTTGAGCAGGTCAGGTTGACCTGGTCCTGGGGTCACAGCTTGGTGATTGTGATCTCAGTGTTCACTGTGGTGATCTGGTCCTGAGGTCGTAGCTTGGCAATTGTGATCTCAGTTCACTATGGTGACCTGGTCCTGGGGTCACAGCTTGGCGATTGTGATCTCTATTCACTGTGGTGATCTAGTCCTGAGGTCACAGCTTGGCGATTGTGATCTCTATTCACTGTGGTGATCTGGTCCTGAGGTCGTAGCTTGGCAATTGTGATCTTGTTCACTGTCCTGATCTGGTCCTGAGCTTACAGGTTGGCAATTGTGATCTCAGTGTTCACTGTGGTGACCTGGTCCTGAGGTCACAGCTTGGTGATTGTGATCTCAGTGTTCACTGTGGTGACCTAGTCCTGAGGTCGCAGCTTGGTGATTGTGATCTCTATTCACTGTGGTGACCTGGTCTTGGGGTCACAGCTTGGCGATTGTGATCTCAGTGTTTGCTGCCAATCTTGGTTATATTTTACAGATGAGGCGGTTTATAAGCCTCATTCTTCTTGTGAGTGCTAGGGGAAAACGACTTATTTTTAAGTACTAGTGAATATTTATAGAGCACATGTGATATTGAGGGAGCAGAGAATTATCAACATGATTGTAAAAGACATCTTATTTAGGAGCATTTTCTTCTCAGACATCAAATGCCGTGATGATTTCTCATTCTGGCTCCCCAGAGGCAGTAACTGCTCCTGCTGAGCAGAGCTGTTCCTGCATAGGCACCCAGGCCAGAAGGTAGCTGAGATGGGGTTGTCAGTGTTGGGTGATCACAGCCAATTGATGGGTCATGCAATGCAAAGGTGTTGTGACTGTGACCTCTAGAAGATCCAGCCATGTCTGTTGTGAGATACTTCTGCACAAAGAGATTAAGTTGATTTTAGTTGCAGGGTTTTTTTTGAGCAGAAATATCCCATGAAAATGCTTCTCCTCAAAGGGAATGGTTGGTCAAAGTGATGGAGCTAGACTGGTGCCAAGTGTAGAGGACTCTGACCCAAGGACAGAACTTCATGACTGGCTCAGCTATCAGCCACACCATCAGTGGGGGTGTGCTATGGATGTGTGAGTCAGTGACCCGAGGTGGAGGTGTGAGTCATTGACTGTCAGTGGAGGTGTGCTGTGGAGGTGTGAATCAGTAGAGGTATGCTGTGGAGGTGTGAGTCAGTGAGCCATGGTGGAGGTGTGCTGTGGAGGTGTGAGTCAGTGACCCACAGTGAAGATGTGAGTCAGTAACCCACGGTGGAGGTCTGCTGTGGAGGTGTAAGTCAATGACCCACGGTGGAGGTGTACTATGGAGGTGTGAGTCAGTGACCCGTGGTGGAGGTGTGCTGTGGAGGTGTGAGTCAGTGACCTACAGTGAAGATGTGAGTCAGTGACCCACGGTGGAGGTCTGCTGTGGAGGTGTACTGTGGAGGTGTGAGTCAGTGACCCGTGGTGGAGGTATGTTGTGGAAGTGTTAGTTGTCAGAAAGTGTTCTCTCAGTAGGACAATGCTGAAGAGGTCACAAACCTTATAATTTGGAGGTGGGAAAAGATGTCTTTGGCAGCCCTGAGAAGGGGTACCAGTTCCTGGGACTTACTCCCACTTCTCACCCAGATCCTGATGGAATGATGGGCCTGGGCAGCTGAAGGAGTTGGGGCTCCCAAGAGATAGCTCCAGACCATCTGTCTCAGGGAGCTGGTACCACCAGCTGAGGACCATGGATGCAGGGAGAGTAGGCCATTGTGCTTTCTGGCTTTCACACTGTGCCTCATTTCTGTCTGCCCAGAGGACTGTGGTGGTGCATGTTTCCTGGACTTGGGGCTGAACAGCACCCTAAGTTGGATGTTCACTACACCTCAGGAAACTTAGTAGGAAGGAGGCTGAGGGACTATTTCCTGCCTTATAGGCAAGCACGGGGAAGGGGGGGGGCGGACTGCTGAAGGTTAAAGGGCAGCCCAGATGTGTGACATCATTCCCTTGACTCCTGCACACCTTGGCCACAGAGTGCTCTTGCCTGGTTTCCTTAGAGCCCACTGTGTTTCCTCCCTCATTGTGATTCCTGCGAGGTACGGTGTAGACATCTCTCTTCCAGTTGCTCAAGCCCATAGCTGCTCACTCTCACCCTTATTCCTGGCTGCAGAGGTGAACTCCAGAGGGGAGATCACTAGGATTTGAACTCAGGCTTGCTAAGCAGGTGCTCCACCACTGAGCCATGTCTCCAGCCCTTTTATTGTGCTCACTGGCTTTGAGAGGTCTTGCTCTCTGTCCTGAGCAGTACATAAACTTCAGTCTTCATGGTTTTGGGGTCCTGCCATAGCTAGGACGCAGGCACACCACTCCACCCCACCTCCCACCCACCCCTACCCCCCGCCACTGCCTTTTCTGTATTGCAATGGAGTCCTGTGAACTCTGCTCTGAGATGGGCTAGAATGGTGTTCCAGTCTCAGCTTCCCAAGTAGCCTGGACAGCAGATTGAGCTACTGTGCCTGGCCAGAGAGCACTGTGACAAGTGTCCATCGAGTTTTTGAATAGACACTGGCCCTTTAGGGCCGGGTCTTCCTCCCAGGAGGCGTCCTGTGCACTTTGGAGCCAAGTCTTCCTCCCAGGATGTGTCCTGTGCACTTTGGGGCTGTGTCTTCCTCCCAGGATGCGTCCTGTGTGCTTGGCCTTGTGTTGGCCTCAGCCCATTGGCTGCAGCAGCATGCTATCCCAGCACCCACAGGGGCCAGAGGAATAATCAGAAATGTCTCCAGAAGTGGCTGGGTGTCCCAGGGCATCATCTGGCTGAGGAACACTGTGGGCTGGAAGTTTCCAAGTCACCATAGGACAAAGGGAGCAGAACTCATTGGAGTCCTTGAGTAAAGTCCTAACACTTTCACATGGCAGGCATCCCTCCCTCAGTGTTCCCTCCCCTCCCCCCTCACACAGGCGCTGAGTTATGAGGTGCGCTGTAAGCATAATTCTTTGATTTAAAGTAACTAAGGAAAGCCATTAGTGTCTAGCACTTTGAATCTGTGTAAACTAGGACTCATTTTCTTTTACGAAGAAGTATTAGGAACTCTTTCAGAACCACAGTTTGTGGACCGAGCTGTAAGTGCCTGCTTACGGGAAACAGCCATTCCAGGAAGCCTTCTGGGTTGCAGCCTCAAACTGCAGTGTCTGCATCTAGGAGGAAACGTGTCACCAGGACTCCCGCCCGTACTCCTGAGAGGGCAGCCCCACAGCCTGCAGTCTTCCCTTCCCCGTGGGTCTGGCTGGCTGTTGGTGGCTCTGGCTGTGGGGCTGGTCTCTGGAAGGGTGGTCTCTGTCTGACTCTGTCCCACCTGTCTGCTGCTTCTCTGCCTTGCTGTTTTCCCTGGAGGGCCCACCTTGATGCTGTCTCCCGTGTGTCTGGGTATCCCTGGCTGTTACCCCAGCAGTGGGCAGCTCATGCTTCCCTGAGCTTGTTCTTGAGCCAGACAGAGCAGGGAATGGGGTGAATGTCTCTTTGACAGAAAATGGAGTAGGAGGTGCCCAAGTTTGTCCCATGTACTTACCTAACTCCGTTGGGAGGGGCTCTCTGTGCGTGGCAGAGGCCATTTGCCCTGTGCAGATACTGAGGTCAGCAGCGGGGCTGGTAGGAGGTCTGATGGGCAGCCCGGAGTCGGTCTGCATCACTCAGCTGACTAGGGCTTCCCCAGCCACATCTCCATAATCTTTGGGCCAGTGTGCATAAGCCAAGAGGTATAGAACGAGTATGCAGGAAGACAGAGTGGGGTCACAAGCTCACCAACTCTCTTCCCCACAGATGTTTGGGAACTGGACCTTCGGGACCCTGGTGTTCACCGTGATGGTGTTCACTGTTACTCTGAAGGTGAGTAGCAGCACCTAGAGGTGTCCACATGGTAGGATAGGGGCAGTGCCCACTACCTGAGCCCTTGCATCCCTGTCCAGGGTCCCTGGGTCCCCAGGGAACCTGGGTGATGCTACACACAAACCTGAAGAATGGCTCAGGAGTGAAGGAAGTGATGAGGCTCTCCTTTGGAAAGGGAAAGGAGTCTTTGTGACAGGATTCACTTATTTAAATGAGATGTAGCCCTACCAATATGATCAAAGTATAACTTTGTGTGGACAGATGAGCGCATTTTGAAAATACCAGCCCTATTTGAAGTCCAGTCGAACTTTGTAAGGAGACTGAGTTGACAGAGATGCAGGCAGGTCTCCTGAGTTCGTGTGACCATTGTCATGGCCATTGACAGCAGCTTGGCCTGCCACCCTGGCCCCCCAAGGTCCCAGGGGCTGCCTGCAGCAGAAGCCAGGGTTTGGTCTGCATTTTCCCAGAAAGTTCTGTGTAGACACTGGTTGTTGGTGAGTTTGGGTTCTGGCTGTGCAATCTCTTCTGTGGATGTCCAGAGAGGGCACCGTTAATGGCCTCTTCTTCTCCCTGCAGCTGGCACTGGACACGCACTACTGGACCTGGATCAACCACTTTGTCATCTGGGGGTCACTGCTGTTCTACATCGTCTTCTCCTTGCTCTGGGGAGGGATCATTTGGTAAGAAGCGGGCAGCTGTCAGGGGATGAGTACTGCTTAGCACCTTGCCTTCAGGGCCGGGTCAGTGCTTGGGGGTGTGCCTGCTGGCCAGCCCTCGCCGTCTGCGCCTGCTGCTCAGCAGGATGCCTGTGGCTGAGTGGTTGCTAATAAATGTGAGCTTCTTTATCCCAGAGCTCTGAAGGCTGGAAGTCAGAGAGCAAGGCTCCAGCATCTCCTGGGCACCTGGGAAGGACCCTTTGCTCTACCCCGACACGCCAAGGCTGTCACATGAGGGGCAGTGTTCCAGCTCCACTAACACCACTGGGGCCCCACCTCAGGGCCTCACCCAGTCCCATCACCTTCCAAAGGCTACTTGGGTCACAGGTCCAAATGGGCTTTGTAGGACACATTTAATCCAGAGCCCTGGGATGCTCCCTGCTAAGACATGCTCTCCTAGAAGGGGAGGCAACATTACAGGTTGTGGTGGGCTACAGGACACAGGCAGCAAGCTGCAGCTCTGTAAAGTCAGGGATAGACAGCAGGGGCACAACCAGCAAGCTGCAGCCCTGGAATGCCAAAGACAACCTCAGAGAGAGTTGTCGTTTGCAGTGAAGTGAGGGACGTCCCCACCGTTGAGCGTGCCTCCTCTAGTGAGGCCCTGTTGGCCTGGGTTTCCACGCCGCATGCTCTGCACACCACAGCAACAGCTGCCACACGGTAGGCTGGTCAGCAAGCTGGCGTCTGGGTCACAGCAGCAGGAGAGCGCTTTCCCAAAGTGGCTGCACATACAAAGGCCCTGGAGCAGACGGAAGTCTGAGCAGATCAGGGCCCTGCAGGAATGGGTCCTCACCGTGTTAGTTGGGGTCTTGGTGGGCCCCAGCCTCTTCCTGGTCATCTTCCAACCGTAAATCTGTGTTCCCCTAGAGAGGAGCTGCCTCCAAGAATCAGTGAAATGTTTTTTGTGGCCCATGCTCTCCTCCTCCCCACAGTGTGGCCATCTGGAGCCCTCTTGTGTTCAAAAGACACATCACAGGCTCCCAGAGCTTGGGGAAGGCTGAGAGGAAGGTCTAGGTGGTTCCCCAGCCCTGACCAGAGCCACAGAACCCGAGTCCTGATGGCTGGGAAGCCGGGAATCTGAGGGGCTTTCTTCCTCAGCCTATGCCCTGGGCGAGGCCCCAGGGACCCCTGTTTCTTGGGATGTTTCTTGGGATGTGCATATTCTCCCTCCCTTTCCCGCTCATCAGACCCCCATGTTCTTAACAAGGAGGAGCCTGACAGATTCATAGTGAGTGGGTGGGGTGGCTCGTCCAGTGCAACCTCCAAAGGAAGGGACAGAGATGCATATCAGTGTCCCTTCTGCACGGTCTATCCTCACTGTCTCCCTCTCACAGGCCTTTCCTTAGCTACCAAAGGATGTACTATGTGTTCATACACATGCTGTCCAGCGGGCCCTCCTGGCTGGCCATCGTACTGCTCATCATCGTCAGCCTCCTCCCGGATGTGCTGAAGAAGGTCCTGTGCAGGCAGCTGTGGCCCACAGCAACTGAGAAAACCCAGGTACGTAGCCTGCCCGCTCCAGCCCACTCACCTGAGTACCTAGGCTACAGCAGGGAAGTAATAGCTGAGATACAGCATGGAAGGTTTAGGTTTCATAACACCAATCATTCTCATCCTACTAATGAAATCCTAATGATGCATGATTTGAAACATTAAGTCTAATGAAAGTCAAGAAAAACGACATTTAATTTGATGTTTATACCTAATCAGGGGATACAAGAAAAGAATCAGAGAACAAGGGTTAATACAAAAATTAATTTTTTATAAATCCACAAAAACCTGAATTAATCATCACTTTTAGAGATTAAATCCTATTGTCTTTAAGGGTGGTGAATATGACCCAGTTTGCATTAACACCAGGGAACCCTGGGCCTTGGGGCAGCTGCTTGTTTTACACCCTCCCAAAGTGGCCAAGAGCTCAGGAAGAGCCGTCACACAGCCATGCTGTGAAGTAGGCATGGTGAGGACTTGGCCCTGGCCCATGTGAGCTAAGCGTGCTCGGGCCTTTGCCATGTGGACCAAGCCACGTCTCACCAGGATGTTGGCAACATCCACTGTGACCAACCTTCAAGGAATGTCTGATCAGACTATCTAATCTCCCATGAGATGGAGGCCGGTGCAGGGGACCTCCATGGAACCCCATGGAAGGGGGAAGGCAGTGGCCACAGCAACTCCTGTGAGTGGGAGCCAGCCTGACCCAGCCACAGGCATGGTGGGGCTCATAGCCCATGCCACCAGAGGCAGACACCAGGACTCCAGTCCCTGGGTAGTGCTAGCAGGCCACATTGAGGGTGAAAAACAGGCAGTCCTGCCCTACTGCTGATCCCAAAGTGGGACTGGCTTGTAGGCATTCCTAGAACCTTGCTGACTCAGATGCTGAGAGTCATGCCGCCTGCTCCACTCTCCACCCTTTATGTCACGGCTGTCGAGCAGGCCTGCCAGAGCAGGCATTTGTCTAGAATTTTGCCCGGGCCTGCCACAGACCCCGCTCTGTGAGAGGCTGCTGGGTGGGCATCCTGAGGAGGGGGATGGGGATGTTGTCCCTGCAGTGGGTGCAGGCCTGCTGCTGAGCCGAGAGAGGCAGCCTACTAGGCATAAAGCCAGGAGGGAGCGGGCGGCATCATGGAGGGTCCTGTGCCTCATTCTGTGTGCGCAGGACAGCAGCTTGAATGCGCTAAGAAATGTTTGCCTATAACCAACTCACCTCTCTTCTCTCTTTCCTCCTCTTTGTCCTCCATGCTTTGCCTAAATAACCACCACTTGTGTAATCGCTCCCCGGCCCACAGGCCCGGAACCGGTGCCGTTCGGTTGAGCAGCCCACCGTCTTTATGCTTTCCCAGACCACCAGTGGTCTCAGTTTCTGACCAACAGGTGACCTTCTCCGCCTTTTCCTAAGCTGGGGGCCATGGCCACGGCCACGGGGGGACTTAGTGCTGAGACCAGTGCACACAGTGACACGTAAACAGTACGCAGCTCACCCACTGACTAGGCTACACCCTCTTCGGCAGCAGCCCGGTGTCCATCAGCAAGCTTAGTGCTCCTGCTCAGTGCTCCCCGCGCCACTGGGGCTCAGGAGTTCAGGCCCAGGCCCACCCTGAGCAGTCCATACAGCCCGCAAGCAGCCTTGCCAGCCAGAGCACAGCAGCCACAGGGTAGCCCTTCTCTGCCTGTCCCTGGGACCGTAGCAAGGCTGCTCACCCACACTTCTGAGGGGGCAGGGGAACTGAGGAAGATCCAAAGGGAGCAGTTTGCTCACAGACCCACAGACCATCGCAGGCTGAGGCTCCCTGACTGTGAGCACATACGTATTAGAGTCCCTTTCCACCATTTTTTAAAGATTTTCAGAAAAAGCCTTCTCCTGGGCTTTCAGTGACCTCCACAGCCCTCTGGACATCTGAGCCAGGACAGGCTGACCATGTCTGGAAGAGGCGCTGTGACTGCTCAACTTTCGTTCCCCAGCGCGGACATGGCTCCCAGAGCTGCCCAGGCCAGCGGTGCCAACACATGTTTCTACATTCTTGCCTTCCTATCCCACTCCTGAAGCAGGACATTCTAGAGCAAAGGACAGGTGTTTCTCCCCCTTTCAGTGGCAGTTCATCTTTTATAGCTTTTAAACTAACAAGATAGTATATTTTAAAGGCCAAGTAAACCATTGAAATTTTAGAATAAATATATAACTACATAATTTCAGCCTACTGTTGGATGAGATGGTTAAGAGCACTGATAAATGCTTAGGAAACGGATAAGCACATGGAAGCAGCTAAGCATGGGCCTTCCATGCATTCACGGAAGCTAGACCACCTGCTGGGCAAGCCTTGGCCTCAGATGGGAGCACAGAGGCCTTGCTGCACAAGTTCCAGGCACACATCACAGACAAGTGCTCTGTTCACATAAAGCCATTCTGCAAAACTTTGGAGGAACCAACGGTGTCAAGCCCTGGTGGAGTGGATTTTTCTAGACAGCAGGGTGCATGCTGTCTGTACACTGTCCACACACAGTGCAGTGTACACCCTCCCTCCCTGTCTGTTCCCATTGGGTCGTGCAATATCTTCTGCAGCACCCGCTGTGAGGTTGCCGCTCCTCCCCCGCTCCCTCTCCTCACTGGTCACTCACCAGTTCAAACCTGCCTCTGCAATTCCAACCTGTACCTCTTCGGGTCTGTGATTCCAACCTGTACCTCTTCAGCTCCTCCAGCGCCCTTGCTCCTTGTTCTTGAGGGCTGGAAGCCCTGTGTTCAGGTGCCACCCAGGCCCGAGCTGACTGCCTTTAGGACATGGGTCTGGGTCAGGACACTCCACCTGTAGGGCAGGATGGACAGACACTGCCCCTGGCTCAGCCTAGAAAGTGGACCACGTGCTCAGAGGGGGCAGGGCTGAAAGTGCTCCCTGCATCCACAGTTGTGTTAGGGCCAGCAGCCTCCAGCTACTGCCCTTGGGTGGTTCCTTAGCTCTGCCACCAGCTCTGCTCCTGGCACAGGTATCTCAGGGGAGCACCTTTTGGAGAGCAGTCTGTTGTCCTTACCAAGAAACAGCTTGGAAGCCATGTCTGGTGGCAGCACTTTGCAGGCACTGTAAACAATGCAGGAGTGTGGAAACAGTACAGGCCGGTGCCCACAGGGCCACGGTGTGCAGCAGCCCAGGCACCGGACGCCGGCCCCCGCCCACCGCAGGCCTAGGTCTCAGTGTCTTTCCTCGCCTTGCAGAGGAGTGCACAGCTCAAAGCTCCAGTCGATGCCACGCCGAGCCGCGACGGGCCACTTCTGAAGAACCTCTTAGCGCGGCCGAGGCACGCGTAGCTCAGCACTAGGTAACTGAGGCCGCTGCCTGTGTGCACGGCCAGTGTGCGGTGACTCTCAGACTGTCCGTTTTTCCTCCAAAGTTTTGCTGTGTTGTGCCTTTTCTATAACAGAGCTTCATGATGGAAACACAACACACACATACACATCCATGCACACAATTTGTGTCCCAGGTAAGTGACACAGCTGAGAGCTGCTTGCGTAGGGAGCCTGGGCACCTCTCCCAGGATTGTGTGGGGAACACAGGCACACAGTCTCCTGCCGCTGTGCAAGCTTGCTGTGACCACAGCGGGCTGCTGCAGGAAGCCACACAGGCCACTGTGTCAGGAAACACTAGGCTGAGGGCATGCTGGTCAGCACGTGTGTTCCATGTCTGAGTGTTCAGAGCCTTTCCGCCTTCTCTGAACATGGTGGTGTTTACAAGAAGAAGGCCTTGTGCCCACCCCTGGGCACTGACAGCCACAGGGGGTGAGCCCTCTGCACTGCCCATCTGCCAAAATGGCCTGAGATGGTAGAGGGCCTAAGGGGTGCTAATGTTGGGTAGAGGTCCCGTGGGTGTTGGTGTTGGGTAGAGACGTGGGTGTTGGTGTCAGGTACAGATCTCATGGGTTCTGGTGTCAGGCAGAGGTCCCATGGGTGCTGGTGTCAGGTAGAGGTCCCATGGGTTCTGGTGTCAGGTAGAGGTCCCGTGGGTTCCGGTGTCAGATAGAGATCCCATGGGTTCTAGTGTTGGGTAGAGACTGGGTTCTAGTATCAAGCAGAGACTGTGGGTTCTTGTGTCTGGTAGAGATCCCGTGGGTTCTGGTGTCAGACAGAGATCCCGTGGGTTCTGGTGTCAGGTAGAGGTCCCGTGGGCACTGATGTTGGGTAGATCAGCCACAAGAGCTGCCAGTTGACTGTGTCTTCTGTTCTCTTTGGCAGAACGTGCAGTTCCAGAACCATGTCTCAGAATTCACCCCTCTTACCTCTTTGCAGAGCCCCAGCTCTCAGCACCCTGGGTGCGTGGTCACCCCACGTGGCTCTTTCCCTAGGCCCGTGACCTGTGTGTTCTGGAGGAGCGAGGAGTACTCTGCTCTCTCGCCCTTCCCAGGCCTCCCAGCCCACTGCAGATCCAGTGTGAGGCTTGGCTGCTGGGGGTCCGACCTGGAGACCCCACGCAATGGCCCCGGACCCTAAGAATACCCCAGGGGCATAGTGCAGACTGCATGCTGGCGTGGAGCACTGCAGTCTGTGTCCTGGGCCTGGTGGCTCTGCATCCTGTGGACTGTGAAAAGGGACCCTTGCCCTGGTTCTGTCTTGTGTCCTGCTGCACAAGGCTGACCCTGCTTGGGTGTCTACCCTCCTGTCACTGTCGTTGTCTGCTGTCCCTTGAAGAACCGTCCACTGGTCTGTGGCCCTGTGGGTCCATGTCCGCCCTGCAATCATGTCCTGCTGCTCCACACTGGCCATTCTCCTGAGAACTCTGTCCTTCTCCCGTGGGAAGTGGCCATGCCAAGCATGGCTGGTGGTGTCTGCGCTTGACCCACAGCCCTGTGGTGCCCACACCCAAGTCTAAGTGATTTCTCCAGCTGTGTCCAATTTGTGTCTAAGCAGCGGCTCAAGGCCAGGACTTCATTCCCCAGCACTGGCTGCTCTGGAGGAGGACCTTGTGGGGGGACAGGCCGCACAGCCAGACCAGCCCCTCAAAAGCATTGCAGCAGCCACCTGCTGCTCACCGGGGTGACAGGTTCGGTGTGCCTGTTTGCAAAACTGGGTGATGGAGGAGTGGCTTGGGCACCTGGGAAGACCTGCCCTCAGCTGGGGTGAGCCTGGCCCCCGAAGCCTGTCCCAACCCCATGTGGCCCTCTGGTCCTGGCAGCAGCGCCCTGCTCAGCACGTCCCATGCCAGCGTGCCAGTGTGCCACCCGCCACTCCCTCCTTGCAAGCCCTCCTGTGCCCGAGGATTCCGTCCAGGGTTTTTTTGGGTGAATGGGCAATCAGAATGCTGCTGGACTGCGGAGTTCCTGTTACTTCCAACACCATGATTTCTACTTATAGAAGAATATGCAATTAGCCTTAATGTTCTTAACTTAGAGAAGGTTTCAGTGTGAGGCTCAAGCCTCAGACGTGAATTAGAAGGCCTTAGCCCAGGGCAGCTGCAACTGGCCGTGCAGCAGCTGGCAGGGGTGGTGATGGCGTCGTGGCTCCATCTCCGCTCGAGAGCTGGTACTCGGGACTGCAGATGCGACTTGTGTGTTTGAGCTGGGTGGGTGGGTGGGGGGTGGGTTAAAGCAGGAGCAGGGGTCGGGGGAGGGCAGCAGGAGAGAAAGCACCACACCAAAGATGGGGGTCGGAAGAGGCAGCTCCCCATTCCTGCCCACCCACCTGGCGGTGGTCTCTGTGCTGTGCTGGACCCCGCTGACCCCGCAAACGGTGGTGTGTGCATTTTTACAGCCCTTTTTAAGAACTCGATAACCCAGGGTGGGGGTGCAGAGTCTCTGTTTAGTTCACAAATGATTTGTAATGTATTTTTTTAGGAATCTTAAAATTGCCTTTGCACTGAAATATTTTCATAGCTGTTTATATTTCTTATGTGTTAATGTATCCTGGTTTTTAAAGTGTGTTTTTAAAGCTTTCATTTATTAAGTTTATGAAAATTTGGCCACTTTATGTTTAAATTCAGAAGAGTTTGGGCTGAGTGTTTCAATATCCAACGAGTGATATTTGAGGTTTGGTTTTACTCTCAGCATGCATGTTTCTCAGAATTTCTGAGGGCAAAGGTGAGCTGTGCACTTTAAGAGCACAATGATTTCCTCTGACTTTTTTTTTATCACAGTCCTAATTTAATCAGTTTTGTTGGTTTTTAATTTCCATCAGCCTTAAAAATAGAAGAATCTTGCTTGAGGGTTGGGTTCTGTGTGGGGTTTGTTGCCTTTCAGCTCAGGAGCTCAGGTCTCAGCACGAAGGCACCGGACTTCTTGGGAAATTATTAAATGAGTGTGCCTAATTATCTTAAATAGACCAGAGGCGTGAGGTAAAGAATAAGGGGAGGAAGAACCCGGCAAAGCGACATTTCAGATATCATTTAGTACAACTTTCCACCTCACAGTGACTGGATTGACTTGCCCTAAACCAACCGTAGAGCACATAATCTCAACTCTAAAGCTAATTCTTAGCCTTGGAGATCTTGTTTGCTGTCACACATGTTAGTAACTTATCATCTTACTGTATTCGTGAGCGGTCCTAAGTCTCAGCCCATCCCCTGTGGTAGTGGCCATGCTGTCTTCTTAGTTTCATCTCCACACAGCTGGGCACGTGTGCCAGCCTGCAGCCCTGCAGTCAGACGTGCACAAGACCCTTGCCCGTGCCTGCACTCTGTCCTGTGTCCCCATGCTCCGGCTCCTTTCCAAGGATGCTATGCAGGGCGCTGGCCACAACTCTGGGCAAAGATGTGTGGGGCTGTGCTCACCTGCTGGCTCTGTGAGCTTCTCCCCACGCCTGGGCCTCCGGAAGTGCTGCTTCCCAGCCCTGTCCTCCCTCACTCATATGTCACAAAGGGGGCCGCCAGGCAGGCCTGCCTAGGCTGCACACTGCTTCTGGGAGCAGGGGCCGGACCCTGCCACATGCCAGCTAGCAATGGGCACCCTTGACTCCAGGTCCCAGTGACCCCTTCCTGAGCACAAGCAGAGCCAAGGGCACCAGGGAGGGCCTGACAAGATGAGGTGCTGGGGGCTGAGGCTGGAGAAGCCAGGCGGGCACGGCCAACAGCACCTGTAGCTCACTGAAGAGCATCTCGCTGTCACGGCTCTGCATGGCTCGGGTCACCCAGATACTGGAGGAAGCCCCGCCTGGGCTGTGCACGGCCACGTTCCTGCGTTCGCACTGACGGTGCTGAACTAACAACCACGTTTATTTCAACTTCATGTTATTTATTGGCAATGCAATGTATCAGCAGCCCCGTGTGTGCTACCTTTCTTTTGGAAGTTACCCATTTATAACTAAGTACAGGACGACTGTCCATGAAGGCAATCCTTTTCTAAGCTCAAGGGGTGGATGAACAGGAACTGAAGCCGTGCTGAAACAAAGCTTTAATGAAGATCTGTTGGAAGTATTATGGAAGTGTGATTCTACTTTTGCAGAAAAAAAATCTAAAGATCAATTTATATAGCTTTATTTTTTACCTTATCAAAGTATATAGAATTTTAATATGCATATATTGTCTCTGACATAAAATTATAATGTGTCTGTATTACCATTAAAATGTCTACTCATTCTGTGATGTTATAAGAGAGAATCATCAAAAATGTACTTAACATGAATGGTATCTATAACTGTCATCAATACTGGAGTTTATTTTTCAATTAGCAAATGTAGTAGATACATTTAACATAAATCATCTCCAAACAGTAATGTTTAACTGATAGTCCATTAATCTGCTTTGAAACGTTCATTGTGAATTAAACCAAATCAAATATGTCCATAGTTTATTTTGTGTTTTGCTGTGTTTAGCTTTCATTTCTGTTGGCAAAGTACCACTCGCAAATCTTAGTTACTTTGGACTTTTCTATAGGCCATCTGCTCAGGAACCTGGATCTGCCTACAATATAGGAAGATCTGCTGTGGCTTTGTGAGCACATGGGATTGTGTGGGCTGCACCTGCGGTTTCTGCTGGTAGAGGCCGGGTGTTTCCTGGAGGACGGACAGCGGCCTGACAGGTGCCGGACGACGGCAGCCTGCCGGGTAGTGGCCTGCCGGGAGGCTTCCACCTTCCATTGCCAAGCCCCAGGGTTTTTCCGTGGCCAGGCCCAAAGCCCCGGTGCTGCTGTCTGCCCCAAGGCCTTGGGGACACCAGCCCACCCAGAACAGAGACCTGGGGGAGCTCCCTCTATCCCTTCCCCACCCCATTATCACACCCAAGGCCCCAGCCTGGCCTCCTGTCCAGCGTCTGCCCACACTCCTCTCCAGCCTTGCTACTGAGCAGTTAGCTCTCTCTCCCTTCCCTGCCACACAGGCTCTGCGTGCTGTGTGGAAAGCCTGGGAGCCCCTGGGAGCTCGAGGCTTTTGCCCACTGAGACTTCCTAAGTCAGCCTCATGGCCCTTGAGTCCCTGGCCTCACTCCTGCCAGTGCCCCTTGGGCTCCTGAGCTAGACTCTGCCTCAGAGAACAGGTCCCTGCGGCTTCCTCGTCATGGGTTCCGTGACCCCAGCTCCCATCAGAGCATACCTGAGCCTCACCCTCAATGGGGTAGGGCTGGGTGGGGTGGGCCTCCATCCCTGTGTAGAACTGGGGGGTGGGGATGAGCCTCTGGCTCCATGAGGGCCATGTTTGTGGCCTAATCTGCATGTGGGCACCATGGCTGTGGCCGCCTCTGTACGTGGGCACCGTGGCCATGGCCTCCTGTGCACATGGGGCTGTGGCTGTGGGCACCATGTCTATAGTCTCCTGTGTGTGGGCACCATGTCCGTGGCCTCCTGTGTGCATGGGTGCCATGCCCGTGGTCTCCTGTGTGCGTGGGTGCCATGCCTGTGGCCTCCTATATGCGTGGGCACCGTGTCCATGATCTCCTGTATGTGTGCATGGCCTCCTGTGTGCGTGAGCATCGTGTCCATGGCCTCCTGTGTGCATGGGCACCGTGTCCGTGGCCTCCTGTGTGCGTGGGCACTGTGTCCGTGGCCTCCTGTGTGCGTGGGCACTGTGTCTGTGGCCTCCTGTGTGCGTGGGCACTGTGTCCGTGGCCTCCTGTGTGCGTGGGCATCGTGTCTGTGGCCTCCTGTGTGCGTGGGTACTGTGTCCGTGGCCACCTGTGTGCATGGGCACCGTGTCTGTGGCCTACTATGTGCGTGAGCACCGTGTCCGTGGCCTCCTGTGTGCATGGGCACCGTGTCTGTGGCCTCCTGTGTGCATGGGCACCGTGTCTGTGGCCTCCTGTGTGCGTGGGCACCGTGTCAGTGGCCTCCTGTGTGCGTAGGCACCATATCAGTGGCCTCCTGTGTGCATAGCACCGTCTCCATGGCCTCTGTGTGCATGGGTGCTTTGGCTGTGGCCTCCTGTGTGCATAGGCACCACATCCATGGCCTCCTTTGTGCTTGGTCACCGTGTCTGGCCTCCTGTGCATGTGGGGCTGTGGCAGTGGCCTCCTGTGTGTGTGGGCGCCATGTCTGTGGCCTCCTGTGTGCGTTGGCACCGTATCCATGGCCTCGTGGGGAGGGGGCCTGTGGCTGTGGCCTGTACGTGTGGTGCTGTGGCCGTGGCCTCCTATGCATGTAGGCATCGTGTCCATGGCCTCCTGTGTGCTTGGGCACCATGTGCATGGCCTCCTTGTGTGTGGGCACTGTGCCCATGGCTTTCTGTGGGGGGGCGCTGTGGCCATGGCCTCCTGTGTGTGTGGGTGCCACGTCCTTGGGCTGTCCTCCAGCTTTCTGCTCTCTGGAATTGCCTTTGTGTCTTGTCTGTGGGAGCTGAGCCCAGCTTTCCCACTGCTACCTCCTGTTGGAGCAGCAGTGGAGAGGGTAGGCTGCGTCTGGAGGAGGGGGAGGAGAAAATGTGGGTTTCCTGGGTCTGCAGAGCTGAGGCCCCCAGCCCATCAGTGGCTGCTGCCCATCAGGTAAAGCCAGGAGAGGGGGGTGTCCCCTGCCTGGGAGGAGGGGAGGCTCCTGGACTGGGCTGCCCTCAGCAGGCAGAGATCTGGCTCCACCTGCCAGGATGCTTTGATGAAGTATTCGGGTGCCTGTGGAACATTCTCGATCACAGTTGACAGATGCCAGTCCCGAGCAGCAGCTCTGCTTTAGTTCACACTCTTCACAGGCACGTACTGTTCCCTAGAGTATAGTGCGCCTTAAAACGAGTTACGCAAGCCAGACGCCAGTGGCACACGCCTGGGATCCTAGCTACTCAGGAGGCTGAGATAATGATCGAGATTCAAAGCCAGATTGTGCAGAAAAATCCATGAGTCTCTCATCTTCAGATAACCACCATAAAGCCAGAAGTGGAACTATGGCTCAAGTGGTAGAACTAGCCTTGAGAATAAAATCTAAGGAAGAGAATCTAAGCCCTGAGTTCAAGCTCCAATACTGGCACACAACACTACAAAAACTACTTACATTTGAAAACAGTTGTCTTCTGATGCTCATCCACTTGTTTAAGAGTCAAGTAAATGAAAGAGGGTTTAAGATGATTGGGAATATGACCTGGAGAATTTCAGATAATTTTAATACCTTTAGAATTGTCAACAGCCTCAGCTCGAGTTAATGGATTAG